ATGAGTGAGGAAGAGAGCATGAAATATGAAAAAAAAAATTGGGAATTCAGTGTAAATATTTTGAATTTACAAAGGGGCACAAATTTTCAAATTTTCCCTAACTTTAGGATTTATATTCAAATTTATTATTTTCAATTTCTAAGTTAATTCATCGAGATGTTTTTTAATAATTTTTAAAATAGAGAAATGTTTAGGTTTTCATTGAACAAAGACTCGGGAAAAACCCAAGAACAGGAAAAGAGCAATAAACTGGGGAATGTCCCAACATCCTCAGACCACCCGGAGGTTAATCCCTTTCAAGTACCTCTTTTTTCTTATATGATGAGTTTTTCGAGTGCAATTTGACCCGTCGGAGTCAAAAAAACCTTTCTTGAGAGAGTTTATTTCTTTCCCAAGAAAACTTTAGAATTTCCCTTGTTTTCCCCAACATGTGTGGGTGAGGCCCTTTGTTTGGGTCACGTAGGCCCGAGAGTTTGGGGCTGGGTTAGAGCGAACGGTTGTGGGGGTGTAAGACCAACCCCATCGACCAAGTTCAAGGACATGATTGGCTCCCCACTCCTTCGAGTGGGATGACTTTTTCGCGCGTTAGACTTAGAATAATTTTAAGACTAGAATTAACAGCAGATCCACCACCTACGTGGACTAGTGAAGATCTAGAGATCTTCTCCTTTGAGTTTGTGTTCAAAGTTTCTATTTGTTATTGTCAACAAAAGTCAAAGTGCAAATATATTCATTATAATTTTATCTTCTACATAAATCCAGTGTTTGTGTACAATTATTTAAATAAAACCCGCACTTGTGCAGCAGAGTGCTTTAGCACTCCACGGGCAACTGACCCGCCATCTATATTACAAAATAACCAGCTCGGGACGTAACACATGGCACATGAAAGCGCGCCCCTTAGACAGTAAGGGGAACTAACAGTAATTGTTAGTTGTTACCCCTCCGTGTCCCATAGTCGGAACTTCCAAGCACACTGGGTCTACCTCCTTGTCTCTATTCTTCATGGTCCCAATGCATAGGTTACACTGTTGTGACGCCGCCATCTACAAGCTGGGGCCCGCATGGTCATTGGCCGTTTGAAGTTTGAATAGGACAGTAGGGCATAGCACCCAAATACTTCTGTTTTTTTTTCGTGTTTTTTTCACCTGTGAAAGTCAATAATCTGAGTGACAATGAAGGGCAAACATTGTTTAGTTTATTGGCCAAAGACCAAAGAAATTAGTGTATTATTAACAAAGGATATTCCTTCCAAAAAGCGTCAGGAGGGTGTCTCTACTAAGTTATTGTGGAAGGATGCGACGACACACAAAACAACTTTATGGGACGCAAAAATTTTACGATTTCACGGTAGGTTTCCATGACAGAAACTGATGGAATTGAATAGCTCTGAATAATGTACTCATAAGCATTTTATACATCGATATGATTTAATTGATCTCAGTCATCGAAAACATTGGAATTACTTAATCTGGTCGATTGGAAAAAAAATTCCACTTGGAATTTCCATTAAAATCTCGTGAATAGATTTTTTGCTACTAAAAAATACGTTTTTTCTTGTAAAATCCGAAAATCGTCAATGAAAATAATGAAAATTCAGTCGACAGTGATATTCAATTTTTAATTTATTTGCAGTGCAATTTAATGCAATCTTTGGGTTGAATTGGAGAATTGAAATTCTTATTATTATCTTCACATTGATTGCATGTAAGAAAAATATTTTCGATTGTTTCCAGTATTGATCTGCAATTTAAAGGGGTCCATGTAGTCTGGTATTTTTTTCGTTGAAAACCTCGCAATTTTTAATTAAAAGTCAAAGCGTCCGTTTCAGAGCAATTTAATCCAACACGTACGAAAAACAATTTTTAAAAATTGGAAAAGAATAGAATCGACCGACAAACTTCTATTATTTTTTGGTCAATTCCATTGACATGTTCATTAGAAAATCTTCTATAAAAAATCAATAGAATTCAATTTTGCTATACAACTTATTCTATTGAGATAGTTTCTATAGAATTTTCTGGGCTCAAATTTTCCAAGTTTTTAAAATTCTACTTTTCTTTTCGCAAAAAAATTAAACAAAAAAATTTAGAAAACTTGAGCCGAGGAAATTCTATAGAAAACATTTTAATAAAATAAGTTGTATCGATAAATCGAATTCTAGTGACACGTTCTATAGAATATTTTCTGTGGAAAATTTCATTAGAATAGGCCAAAATCTAATAAAAATCCAATAGAATTATCTAGCGATTTCGTTAGGTTTTAACTACATTCCATACTTCCTTTTGAAGTGTTAGAAAACATTTAAAAGTCCTCTAAAAAATAAGGAATCTCGTTTTTTGGAGAATCACTTTTCAAGTAATCGAAAAATTGCATGTTCAAAAATTAGGATATGTTTTTATGAGTCACTTATGAACCTGCAATTTTCCCACATATAAATCTCTTTTTGAAAATCGTAAAAAATGTCCATATTTAGAATTTTGTGTATTTTTTTCGGATTATAATTTGAATGACGTATAAAATCCATGAATTTCCTCAAATGCTTGCTAAGTATAACCCTTTCGAACTCTGACCCTAGGAGTGTATGACACTGGCAAGGTATGACCCTTCCGACGTTTGACCCTCGCCTAGTATGACCTGCGCAACGTATAATTCTCGCGACACCAGACTGTTATAAGGTCACCATTCTTTCACGTTACATAAGAACTCGGGAGGGTGAGACCGCATGACCTCTAAATCTTACAATTTCTTACGTGGGGGAAGGGGGTCTAAAAGGGTGCAAACTGTATTACGTAATAGATGAACGGGCCCCAAGAGATGTTCATTCCATTGTACAAATAAAATTATATAAACTTCAATCCATTTTCTAAAAAAAATCGAAAAATCGTTTTGGTTCGTGTATAACTGTCGAGTCCTCGACGCCAATGATTCCTAAGGTTTTCCGGGTAAAAAAGTGGGGGACGGGGGAAGAAGTGGATTTTATAGCCCTTGAGAGGACCCAACTGCTTCCCCTTCTTTTCGTCTTTGGAACCGCACATGGCAATAAAGCAGACGGGCGTGCAATAAAACTCAAACACCCCTATACAGTGTCAGGATATTTTCCTTTAGGGCTACTCTACAATAGAGAGGTATTCGTTCGCCCGGGAACGGAACGGCAACGGGCGCAATTGGTAGCCAGGCGGGTCGCAGATAGAAAAACACATGGTCCCGGCGTGAGTCCTTTATGCCCCTTCTGTTCCGGGCTTATTGTAGACTAGCCCTTAGAAGGGGCCCGTTTTTTTTCCATTCAGTTGCACAGACAATAAAGTTTGACTGTGTGAAAAGGGAGAGAGGTCATTTACAAATGTGCTTCGAGCCCCAAAAGTTTTTTCTACCTGAGCGAATCCGCCAATTCTGTATACGAAAAATTGACTCAAACTTTTGAAAGTTTTTTTTCATTTTTTGTACGGTAAATGGAAAAATTTTTATAAGAGCGTTTTTGTAGATTTTATTTTAATCTATAAAAACGATTAATGCAAACAATTCTCTATCCCGTTTAAATTTGGAGGTATTTTTGAAAAATTAATTTTTCACTATATACTACTTTTACTACTATTAGAATCGATAAATGAATGGCAGCGGGAAAGAGCCAGGAGCAATCTTGTCCCTACGCTTGCATGCATTAACCAAATAAAAAATGAAAGTGTTAACAAATCTGACCATTGTTCCAAGTAAAAACCGAAAATCTGACCCTGTGGCCCCCGATGAAAAATTTTTTTTTTCAGTTTTCACTTTTTCCACATACTTTTAAGAGTTCTGAATAGCCCGTCGCTTAAATAGTTGGAATCAACACTCGCCCGACTAAAAAATTCGATTTTGGCGAAAGTCGATTTTCCCTCTGGAAAAACAGAAAATCTGTCTCTTTGGCTCGGGGTGAAAAAAAAAAATTTTATTTCGACTTTTGTCGCACCTTCGGGGGTTTCATTGGCATCAGAATTGTTAGAAAATACAGAATCAACTTTCACTTGGCGAAAAAATTCAATTTTGGCGAAAATCGACTTTCACCCTTGACCCACGTGAAAATGAAAATTTTTTTACCTTTTCTGTCACCTCCGAGGGTTTCATTGGCATCAAGGGGTCAATTAATACAGAATCAACGTTCACTATTTTTTATTTAAACACCGCCTGCAAACGGGGAGATGAGGGTGGCTAAAATATATTCTGCAACCCTGTCTCCTCGTTGGCTACAAATTTCAACCCTCCGCATACATGCCTTCCCCTTCACCCGCTCGTAAAATCACGCGTTCTCGGTAGCATCGAGGAGGACTTCTCAGGACCGAAAAGAACTGAGGATTCGAAAGGTCTCTGGAAAAGTACGTCGCAGAACTGATTAGGACTTACCAGGTCCATCTAGGTCTGGAGAGATCTTGAAAGACCTGTGTACGTCCAATCAGAACCAAATCCTCGACTCGGGTACCTGCAATATCGGCCGGCTGCACGACTGAGGTTTTCCATGGTTTCCCTGGCAGTCCTTGTCGCAGATAAAAACAGAAAAAACGGGATGGGGACAAAATGTAAAGACCCGAGAGGATATGCATATGGATGAATAAAAATATTTAACAAATGTTTTCAGATGACCCGACAGTTCTGAATAATTTGACGGTGCAACGAAAAACTGGCACTGTGATAAACCCCAAGCCAAAAGCTTTTACACAAAAAGCTTTTATACAGAAAAAAAGGTTTGCAAAGGAACAGGCGAAACGGAGAGCTGGTATTGACCATAACCATCACAAAGAACTTACTCAACGGTTGTCAATTTCCAATAACCCTTCATCCGTTCCACCGTTTTTGAGCTCCCAGATGTCACATGTGATCAATGGTAATAGAATTAGTCATAATGATAAGGAAACTCCTGCTCCGCAAAATAAACAACGAAGCGATATTGAAGATCAGCACCTTCCGTCCACATCATCTGCAATGACGGCAGTCAATGCTCCAATAATCAGATATCGGAATGAAGAATTGCGTCAACAGATGAAGTGCAATTCATCCGATGAAGAGGATTCCGATAACGAAAGCTCAGATGAAGAGGCACAAAGTCTGAGAAGTCGAAACGGTCATAATCAGAGTAATGGTTTTGAATGGTTCTATGGAATGAGACCTCGTAAGTAATAACGAAAAAGTTTAATTAAAAAACTTGATACATTTTCGCTAGGGAATTCTATCAAAAATTCCGTTTCTCGCGTCGAGTTAAATTTTTCTAAATTAGGATTTGGAACAATTTGCAAAGATAGATTGTTCAACAGGCCATGTATTATCGAAAGAATTAGTGGATTTTCATCTTTTTATACGACTTAGTTCGTTGAGATTAGTTTTACAGACATTCCTGGGCTTAAATTATCAGAGTGCGCTGCTTCAATTTTTCAATGAGAGAAGGAGAAAAACGTGGAAAATTTACACCGAGTACACAAATGCTCCAGAATTATCAGTTATTTTTTGATAGCTTGACATTTTACAGGACATAATCATAGCAATTTTCGCAGATTTTTTTGCCAAATTTTTTTGTACGTAAATATTTGTGATTTTAGTAATACCGATCGTATCAAACCGACGACGGTGGCCGAAGTGGTTAAATCGCTCGGCCGGATGGCGGGACCCGTGAGGCGCGGGTTCGAGTCCGGCTTGGGGCGGAGATTTTTTAATCCTTCGGAAACCTTCGAACGGTAGTCTAGACACCGAGAATCATCGGAAAATGGTAGAAAACCATTCCTCGATGATGCTCGGTCGATGGACGTCCGTGTCGACCAAGTTTGGTCGACAACCTTGAGAATCATCGGAGAAATGGTAGAAAAATATTCCTCAATGATGCTCGGTCGATGGACGCCCGTGTCGACCAAGGTTTTCCATGGTTTCCCTTAGTCACCAGGAGACTATGTGCACGGCGTACAGCTCCTGGGGTACAATGCGACACGGTTGGAGAGGCAGTCGGCCCATGATAACCGCAAATTAGGGAACTTGTAAAAACCCGAGTAGGGTATATATGGCAAATAATAAATAAAAATAATACCGATCGTACCAAATTACAATCGGTATTACTAAGATATGTTGCGCAAGATATTATGACAATGAAAATTTTCAGCTACTCGAGAAGTCATTGCCTACTTGAAAGCGATGGTCCAGCATCTGGAGATGATGAGAGAAGCAGAAGAAAATGAAGCCATGGAACGAATAGAAAAGGTACATAATTTTTGTCTAACAATTCCAAAATATGATTATAGTAGAATGACAACAGCCTGCATTTCTTACAGTTTTATGACGAGGCACGCACATGCAGCATGAGTAAGGTAACTTTTCAGCTAACAATTCTTTCTCCGTATCAGTTTCTCATTACATACTCAGTAGAATATTCATATATTAAATATGTTACAGGTGGAAATCCATCCTGGAACCAGCGTCTTCATCGATAAGCAGACAATGGCATTGGCAATTGAGTATTTCGACGATAATCACGATTGGAAACAATTGACGACTAATCTTCTGACGGGAATCTACCATGACACATTGGAGTACATGTCTGTGGAAGAAACAGAAGGCAAAATTCGGCTGCATTACGACATTTTGAAGGCAGTTGAGGGTGAGAGAAATCATTACTTTCTTATTCATATAGTTCTAATTAGGGATCTAATGTACAAAGCTGCCGGGTCAATTTGAGGTCATTTTACACGTAAATTACCGAGCACAAAAATGATAGAATACATCTAGCTAGATGATTTCAGCATAAATAACAGTGAGAAAAAATTACAGTCGATTGGGTAAGTTGATCGGTCAGTTTGCATCGCGAGGTATACGTTACGTCAGAAATGGTCAGAAAACAGGAAATTTACAACTGACTTAACGCATGTCAAAAATAACCGGCATTTCGCATTCCTAGTTCTAATTACCAATTGTCAGAGGTGGACTCAGAACTCATTATTTGATTACATGTCAAAGTGACACACGTAAATGTTAACACAAACAAATTCAACACAATTCAACATTCAACAGTCTTCGAAATCAATAAATATTCACTTTCGGAATGACAATTCATTTGACAAATTAACATTTCAGAAGTCATTCGAAGTCGAGGAACTCCTGATAACCCAATCCAGATTGGTGATGATGACTTCATTAAACACGTGAGAAAAATATGTACTAGTCGCGAGAGCAACTCATACAACCCTTGAAGATGATAATGAGAATCCGGGAAGAAGGGAATTCCCTCTAGGTATTTCAAAGATTTAGGCGGTATCATCCGGACTCTTTCGTTTAACTTTCGATGATTCTGACCACAGCAGCTGTGGATTATTCAAAATAAATTCTATGTCACATTCATCGGACTGGTTTCACTGAGATCTCCCCACTATACAATTCTATGCTCTCCACTGGATTCAGGGGACCTTCAACAACCCTATACCTCACCAGGAGCATTACATCTTGCCACTGCCGTCACTGCATCACCAACAATCTGTTTCTGCACATTTTTAAGAAGCTTGGTATCATTGTTACAGGGATATTTTTTTACTAATATGTTTAAAAAGCTATTGCCAAATATCAACCAAATAATCTTATAATTAATTTCGAAATTTTTATCCATTTTGAGACAAAAGGTGAGACAAAGTCATGCGTATTTGAATTAAAAATCGCATACCCCGTTCAAAATCAGTCCTGAATAACTATTCAGAAAGCATTAATTCATTGCCACGGACGAGGCGTCCCCACTCCTATGCCCTGCGTGAGACGGCGGTAGTGGGGATGGCGGCAGCAGGGCCGTACGCTCGGCGCCTCGAATATTAATAGGAGCGTAAGAATTGAAATTGAATTTTTTGGATGTGTTTGAAGGGTAGGGAGTTCCACCCGGCTCGACTGACGTTTTTTCTGTTTTTTAGTGGGAATTTCATCCATTTTTACATATATAACCTATAAATAATTCGTGAATGCCGTGAATATTTTCATGAAATCGCTTAGTTGAAAACTGTTATATATTAATTTACAGCTTAATTGCAATCATCGAAATTGAAATAATCCTCTCATACATGAAGAAGAAAAAAAAATTTTGTGGTGCACTTACGGTCTCTAGCTTCGACCCTGGCGTTATGAAAAGTGGGAGACCGGTTTACATACTAACATCTTTAACGCCACACTCACACCGCTCTATGCGTCGCGCTGATTCGCTCTACCCCCACTTGCTTCACACCGAGACGATTCGCGCCTCTTCCGTGGTAATGGGTTAAGCATTCCACCTAGGATATTTCAGTAACTCCGATTCTGTCTCGATCCTTTTATTTCATCATGAGATTGAAGAATTCGCAGGTATTCAGACTTGACGCAAGGATAACGTAACCCATAAACTTGTCTTTGAAAAAAATATTGAAATTCTCTAGTACAATATGTTAACAGGCCAATACACCTTAGCTTCGAATTTTTTATCAATTTGAGACAAGAAATATTGATGCACCCTTTCATCACGAATTTCAATTCTGACCCTTATGACTAGAAGTGACTCCGGGGAAAAATAAAACTGGGAAATATACGCAAAACGCCGTGTCATTTTCCCCTGGTTTCCCCTAATAGTCTATAATTTTCAGTCTATTACTATATTTGTTCGAGAATAATTGAGAAACTCCTGATTACATTTTTAAGATAGTTCAAGAAATTAGTTATACGTTTCACAAAGAATTACTCTACGTTTGTATAAATTTGTTTACATTTCCATGTGTCTTCCTTAACTATAGATAATCCTCCTTGTCAAAATGTTTCATTACAAAATATAATGAATTGATTAAAGGTTTGTTTAATGTCGTTTTTAATTCTGAATTCGTTTTTAATTCGTTAATAATTCAAAAAATTACGCATGTATACCGGCACATCCGGTTCGCCCAGAGGCCTAATCGACCGTGGCGCCATCCCTCCCATGGGGCACTTACTATTTCAGCTTGGGGTCACCTGCCCGTACAGAACTGAGCCTCTACTTTAGTCAATCCTCTTTTGTGGCTATTGTTACGTCCCGAGCTGGTTATTTTCTAATATAGATGGCGGGTCCGTTGCCCGTGGAGTGCTAAAGCACTCTGCTGCACAAGTGCGGGTTTTATTTAAATAATTGTACACAAACACTGGATTTATGTAGAAGATAAAATTATAATGAATATATTTGCACTTTGACTTTTGTTGACAATAACAAATAGAAACTTTGAACACAACTCAAAGGAGAAGATCTCTAGATCTTCACTAGTCCACGTAGGTGGTGGATCTGCTGTTAATTCTAGTCTTAAAATTATTCTAAGTCTAACGCGCGAAAAAGTCATCCCACTCGAAGGAGTGGGGAGCCAATCATGTCCTTGAACTTGGTCGATGGGGTTGGTCTTACACCCCCACAACCGTTCGCTCTAACCCAGCCCCAAACTCTCGGGCCTACGTGACCCAAACAAAGGGCCTCACCCACACATGTTGGGGAAAACAAGGGAAATTCTAAAGTTTTCTTGGGAAAGAAATAAACTCTCTCAAGAAAGGTTTTTTTGACTCCGACGGGTCAAATTGCACTCGAAAAACTCATCATATAAGAAAAAAGAGGTACTTGAAAGGGATTAACCTCCGGGTGGTCTGAGGATGTTGGGACATTCCCCAGTTTATTGCTCTTTTCCTGTTCTTGGGTTTTTCCCGAGTCTTTGTTCAATGAAAACCTAAACATTTCTCTATTTTAAAAATTATTAAAAAACATCTCGATGAATTAACTTAGAAATTGAAAATAATAAATTTGAATATAAATCCTAAAGTTAGGGAAAATGGCGGTCGCCTAGGGACCCTGCGACCGTCGCTGGTGCATATGCGACAGTATCTATTTAGTAACCTTGCACGGGATGCTTCGGGCAGAGATAATAATTCGGGAACCCGCATTCTAGTATTGTACATATATTATGATGTAGATGCGTTCACGTGTTCAGCTGTTCAAAAACGCGGGACATTTCCCTTGAATCGGCGAACAAATCCGACTTCTATGGTTAAATAAATTTTAGTTAATTAATAAGTTGAATTACATGGACCAATTTAATTTATCCATTATTTCTACAAATTTCAATTATTAAAGTCTTAACATCAGTGGTGAAATCGTCGTTATTAAATGAGGGTAAATGTGATCGTGCTAATAGAGCTAGGTTATACCCATATGAATGAGCGACCCTCATTATTCAATTAATTGATCAAATGAATGTTCCAATTCCATTCTTTATGAGAGAAAATGTCAAGTGATAGTTATCATTCTACACAAGACACCAGTAATTCCGAGTTTACTTCATTCACAGAATCAGCTTTTCAACAGTTTGATGACACTATCAATAACAACAGTGATAGTGACGGTTCCATTGAACCCTGCGATGTATCAAAAATGATCGAACGCGATTTAGAAACTATTTTGCACACAACAGTACAAAATAAGACAGTTAATGAATTTGTAGATAATATTTTCGAGGACTCGGGGCAGTGGTGTAACGCATCAATATTCAATAACGCAACAACAGATATTTCCTTCGTATCTGAAACAACAGAGGACTTCCAAGATGATGATTCAAGACAGAGTACGGAAGTGACAGAAAATTCGCATATTGATCTGATGACGAGTAAGATTCTACGTCCAGAAACTTCGGCCTTCTCTCTCAATCAAGTTGAACTCGATGAATTGTGTTCAGAGTTTGAAAAGGATGACCTATATTCAACGAAATTGGAGCAACAATTAGAGGATAATCATTGTGGTGAAAAACCAGCTGTTAGAGTTGACGTTAATGTTAATGATGAGAAGGCCCTGGGTGCATTTCATGGGCTTTCTGATAAAATTAAATCACTGATCTTCAGGATTAAGAAAATTCGCTCACTCTATGGTGAGTATTCATTTTAATTGATTGTTTGGCATTCAAGACAACGATCTGTTTTGAGGAACAGGTAGACGTGAATTTCCTAACTCACTTTGACTTCAACCCAAACATGAGTATCAAACTGCACTGAATTTCCAATTGATTTCAAGTTTGAGAATATATTTACCTGGATTCTCCCAATTTTTATTATTTTTCATGGAATAATTCAACTGAAATTCATAGTTTCCATTGATTTCTTCATCAAATTATGGACTTTCAATTACTAAAGTTTTGGAAATCCGAATGGATCTATCATTTGCTGAAAATTTCGAAGGAGTGTGCACTATAGGTTTTTTTTTTCATTCAAAATAATTCGTAGAAAATACTCTTATAGAAGAAATTAATAAATTTCGATCTTTCTGTATAACTTATTCAGGTAATTATTAGGTGTATAAATTAATTCTCGGCCTCTAGATTAAATTGACCAGAACACCTATTTGAATTAAAAGAATTCCCCGCAATAAACGGCGTTTTGAAGCGCCATCTGTGAACTATGAAGCTACTTAAGTCCGATTGTGGTGTGATTAACAGAACCTCAAAAAACAGTGAATAAAACTGTCGTTCGACAATCAGCACTTGAGGCACTGCCTTCTTTTCATTCAAGTTCTTCCAACTTGGAAAAGCTGCCGCAGAAGCACAAGAAATGATGCGTTCGGCCTTGGGAGGGAGTGCTGTATCTTATAGCATATGTAAAAAGTGGTTTAAAAAATTTCGGAATGGAAATTTTGATCTCCAGGATGAGGAACGTCCTGGGCAATCAAAAAAAGTTGAGGACGAGGAGTTGGACAACTTACTCAATGAAAATCCCTGTCAAACACAACAGGAGCTTGCTGATACTCTTGGAGTGACTCAACCGGCTATTTCGGTGCGTTTAAAAAGAATTGGGAGGATACAGAAGGAAGGTCGTTGGGTGCCCCATCATCTTACCTCAGAAAACAAAAGTCGACGCTATAAAATTGCAATGTGTCTACTGACCAGATTCAAACAAAAAGACTTTTTACATAAATTTGTGACTGTGGATGAAAAGTGGATATTTTACGACAATCCTAGACGCGAAAGTCGTGGGTTTATCCGGGGGAGCCGTCAACTGGCACTGCAAAACCGAACATTCATGGGAAAAAATTGTTGTTGTGTATTTGGTGGGATTCCAAAGGTGTAATCTATTATGAGATACTCGAACAGGGGGAAACCGTCACTGTTAAGCGTTATCAGGACCAACTGGTGAAATTGAGTGATGCTATTGAGGAAAAGAGACCTTTTACTGGTAGTGGTACGAGGCAAGTGATTTTGCTGCAGGACAACGCGCGGTCACACACGGCAAAAAAAACCCTGAAAGTTATCTCCACGTTGGGCTGGGAAATTCTCCCACATGCGGCGTATTCTCCAGACCTTGCGCCTTCTATCACCTTTTTCGGGCGCTACAACATCACCTGGTGGATACGCAGTTTCGATCTCCTGAAGAAGTCCGGCAGAGCATTGATGACTTCATCCAGTCAAAACCAACATATTTCTTTCAAGCCTGAATTCGACAATTGCCCGATAGTTGGGAGAAATGCGTACAAAGTGACGGTGATTATTTTCAAGATTAGATCAGTATTCATTTTTTTATAAATAAATGTCAGAATTGTCGAAAAAAGGGCGAGAATTAATTTACACATCTAATATTTATGTCCTCCAGTTCTAATTCATTCGCAGTTTATTTGAATAATCATCTTGCTTTTATTCTTCTTGTTTCTCCTAGATTGGCAAGATGAGTGTCTGAGATTAAAATCTGTGATGAATCGTAGGAATTTAATTTATGCTCTCCCAACGAGTGGTGGCAAAACTCTAGTAGCAGAAATCTTAATGTTAAGGGAAATTACGTGCAATAAAAAAAATGCTATATTTATTCTACCATTCGTTGCAATTGTACAGGAAAAGGTGAGTGAACAAATCTTATACTTCAAATGAAATTGAATAAAGTGGTCGAACGTAACCAGTCGAGTTTTCGTATCTTATTCGCGATCGCTATGTAGACGTGGGAACCCCCAAGTGGTCTTTAAACTAACTACTCTTGGGGGCCAACCAATGATATCACTGGATTCATCTTGATATCAGGAGTAGTTCGTTTAGAAACCACTTGGTGGCTCACACCTACGTTACGATTGTGAACTAAATATCTAATCATGTCAACAACGAGCGATTTTAATTGTGGAGAGTGGGGTAAAGTGAAACATTCGAGATCACATTTCAATCTTGATATCTTTATTTATAAACAGAGATATTGGGGTTTAAGGCTCGGCCCCATTATCTACTGAACGTTTTCTAGATTAATTTTGCTTGCGTATGGAAGCTTTGTAATCATTGAAATTTATGTTTTGGACTTGTTGTGTTATATCGACCAAGTATGATCCGATGCCCCGTCACTCGAGAGCCTTGAAAATGATGAATAATGAATTGAAAAATAAATAGAAAATTCTGAATATTGAGAAATTCCACGTAAAATCCGAAATGAACAAAATCTCATGTTTGCGATTGTCTTTCCGATTTTTTTCTTACACTGAGAACAATCCGGACGCTATTTCAAAGTCGCGCAGGACATCGAAAAAAATTCAAAAGCGCCGACTTATATAATCAACGAAAAAGTCAAACTCGGCTTATTACAGTTTACCACTTTACTAGTGAACCCGTCTTATAAAGCCCAATCTTAATTTTTATTTCCCAGATTCAGTCATTGGCTCCATTCGCTGTAGAATTGCATTTTCTAGTCGAGGAATATGCTGGCAGTAAAGGTGGATATCCCCCCATCAAAAGAAGACGAAAGAATAGCCTCTATGTTTGCACAATTGAAAAAGCCCTAGGATTGATTAATAGCCTAATCGAAACCAACAGATTGAAAGAAATTGGGATGATCGTAGTCGATGAATTACATTTGCTAGGGGAGGATGGAGGCAGAGGCGCAACTCTGGAGGGATTGTTAGCAAAATTAATGTACATTAATGGTAATTAATTGTTCTTCATTACGGCAAGAATTTGTAAGACGAATCATCAATTCGTTCCGTAAAACGAGCAGGCCAGGGTCATTGGATCGGGTCGGCGATTAGCTAAAAAAATGAGTATTTTTTTTGGGCAAAAAAACAATTTTCGATGCAAATATCGAAAATCCAAATGATTGCCCCTTGAGAAAATATTTCTAGTTGCAAACACAAATCTGTTGGAATTCTCTCTTGAAATCACTCCTTATCGGGACGAATAAGAACTTGATAGACTACTTGTTTGACGTTTGACATTGCCCAATTTCCATATAGGATTATGAGGGAAATTATCATAAAGACAATAATTATTAAGATGTAATTAATTTTAGTTGACATTCATATTGTGGGTATGAGTGCCACAATAGGGAATTTGAATGAAGTGGCGGAGTTCCTGAATGCAGACGTGTACACACAAAATTTTCGACCTGTGGAATTGAAAGAATATATCAAATGTGAGGATCGTATATGGTTGATAAATACTAAAGAAGAAGATATCTTTACTGATGAGAAGAAGATCAATTATCAAGTAAGTTAAATACTTTTTTAGTAGTCAGGATGCGTCTTTTGACCATGACGTCTATGCAAACAAAAATAATTTAAGATTTTCGGGTTCTGAGAAACCTAATTTGGTTGTTCCAAACTCGCCAAGTTTTTTAAATGACTAATGAAATTTATCATGACCGAGTACTTGGTTTGGGATACCCGCAATTCACCCCTATTCACCAGATTTGAATCCCTGCGATTATTTCCAGTGGACTTATATCAAAGATCATTGTAATGCGAGCATACCAAAAACAATCGAACAATTGATGAACAACATTAGGAAGACTGTTCGCGATTTTTCAAAGGAAACTTTGGAGCGTGTATTGCACGATTTCAGAAAACGTTGGGATTACTGCTCCGACTATAATGGCTCTCACTTTGAAAATATTTATTATTGATCGCAGGATTTGCACGACAATTTTTGTAATCCACTATTTTAAAAATGATAACTCTTTGCTCTATCAGAAACTATTTCCCTTCTCTTGATCCATGTTATCAGTAAAAATAATCATCAAGCAATTCTCACTCGTCACCATGGGACACTGTATTAAATAAGCGATGAATTTTTCTATAGGACTTTGATCGTAAATTTTTCTTTTTTTTTAATCTTGATAGTTAAAAAGTTTGATAATGAGAAATGATGGTTGACATTTTTTATATATTCCATATTCATAGAAATAGTAACGAATTCTGCCGGAATTTTTCTTCTAATCCACTACTTTCACAGATAATGGAGACGCATTGGAACAGAAGAAAAAAATTTTCACAAATTGTGGATTTTTCTAGTCATGATTTTGTTTCTCATTCATACAGTACTCTGAAGCAGCATTGAAACAAGACCCAGACAAAATCGGCGGTCTCGTTATGGACGTAGTGCCTAAGGACTCCTGTCTCATCTTCTGCGCGACTCGAAAAAACTGCGAGAACGTTGCCCTCCTCTTGACTCGGGTACTATTCAGGTACTAGCCAACATTAGAACTATGAAATTTCTTTTCGACATCCTTGAGCATGCAAAAACCTTCAAAATAAGACATCACTCGCTGCATTGCTGTCAGATTTTCGGGCTTTATGGGGCTTTATGTTTTTTTCCATCGCGATTATCTCAAAAACCTTATTTTTTTAATATCGACAATTTCTACGAAAATCATCGATAAAATGACGGATATTATGGCGTCAATTGAAATAAGTCTCTCTATGAATATTATATTCACGGGAGCAAAATACTTGAATTGAGTATAAAATATACTTGAATGAAGTATATTTTTTACTCGAATAAAGCATTAGGTGTATAACTTAACCTTTTGGTTTTTTTATCATAAAATATGTAACATTATAAAATATATAAATACTACATCAATCCTCGAAATATCGTTCATTGTTTTCGATGACCTTGCGCCATCGATCGGGCAACATACGAATGCCATCGCGAAAAAAACTTGCAGGCGATAAGGCGATGAAGTCATCGACGAATTTTCGTATATCGTCCAGAGTTTGGAAGCGTCTTTCCTCCAAGGCGTGCTGCATGGACCGGAACAGATAGCACAACAGTGCAATCATATGATCAGCTGGTCAATTAAAAACATATGATTGGCTGACCCCCCCCCCTTCCCCTTCCCCCACCTCCACAAGGGAAGGTATATAAGGACTGCCCCCACACATCGGAGCTCAGAATCGGAGCTGATAGCCCTGAAGATGCAGACTGCAATGTTTGCGAAACTTTGGCGCAATGCCGAAACTCAACGCGGCATCCATCCGGAAGCCAACCAAGTTATGTTGAATCAGTTCCCGTGGAACCCATCTTCCCACCTTTTGTATCCTTCCCATTGCATGTAATCGTTTGGAGACTGCTGCTTGAGTAACTCCTAGCTGAGCTGCAAGCTCTTTTTGGGTTTGCGTTGAGTCTTTGTTGAGTAATTCTTGCAATTCAGCATCTTCAAATTTTGGCAGGAAAATCCCCGACATCGAATTTTGTGGGCTTCGGATTTGATGAGGGATTGCTCGACTATCATTAAAGCAAAACCGAATCCTCAAGAAGAAATTGTCAAAATTAATCTTTCAGATCTCTAGTGGAATACAGAGCATTGGAAAAAGAGAAATTACGAGCAGCTCTGGAGGCTGAAGGTCAGCTTTGTGCAGTTCTATCGAAAACTATAAAGTTCGGAGTGGCTTATCATCATTCGGGCTTGACGAATGAGGAGAGGAGGCTTGTGGAAGATGCCTACAGGGAGGGCACCCTCTCTGTCATTTGCTGCACATCAACTTTGGCAGCTGGGGTTAATCTGCCCGCCAGAAGGGTTAGTAAAAACTCATTGCTGGAACTACATGGTAGATGAAGCTCGAAAAATATAACTTGTTCATTGATTTATGTAGGAATGTCAAGATTTCCTTCTTGTCGCCGACGAAATTCAGCATTAGCAAGATATTTTACTGACTGTCTTGACAGAAAATGATGAGTTTCATCGACAGAAACCGCTTTACTCATCCTCTCCTGTTTTTTGGAATTCAAATACCTTTCGCGTTTTTTATTGATGAAGTTTTCTCAATGCTGTAAAGCATTAATAGAATGATTCTCGATTATGCCTAGGTAATTCTGAGAAGTCCCTATGTAGGCAATGAATTCTTAAACCTCAGTAGATACAAACAAATGGTGGGTCGAGCTGGACGTGCAGGAATGGGTGAAGTTGGAGAGAGTATTATCCTCTGTAAAGCTGCAGAAATTCCGAAGGTATTTGTCTGGCAATATTTATCCCAAGGTATTAATCTGACAGATATGATGAATCTTCCTCCATCAAACTTGTCAGACATCAACTAGTTTCACTGATTTTAGTCTCAAATTAAATTAGTTTGAGTCAAGTTAGTTTTAGTAGAAAATTAAATCGCAGTTCAAATACAATTGTAAAGGTAACAATTTCTTCAGATTCGAATGATGTTAACAGCAAAGATGGATGATTGCCTCAGCTCACTCCACACCGAGCAAGATCGTGGGCTGAATAATCTCCTATTAAGCTCTGTGATGTTATCATTAGCAAGTAATCGAGATGAACTGCACAAACTGGTCTCTATGTCTCTCTTGGGGATTCAATCCTCTCGACTGAACGTTGACATTGAACAAATCGTCGACAGGGCGATAATTTCTTTGATAAAGGCACGACCATTAAAAGTGAAGGAAATCGATGATAATGAAACTATTGCGAGTATTATCATGGAATCGCATTTCACTGATGATTCGACCGTCGAGCCAAAACCGAAGAAAGCGAAACAATCGATCATCCTTACTAGAAAAAGTCCATTGGAATTGTCGACTTTGGGGAAAGCTGCAATGAAAGGTAGAATATTATTATACTATACCGAAAGGTTGAAAAATCTTCAAAACCATAGGTCTTCAAAACCATAGTTTCTACCCAGTATTCTTCCACAATCTAGATTTTTTTCTGTAATTTGAAAAAAAAAACGTCTGAATTTTATCATGAATATTCCGATAAAGTCAAGGTCAGAAATGATTAAATTCTAGAAATAATTGTTTCTAATAGAAATCTTTTTCGCATTTAGAGAATTGTTCCTGACCTCTAGAAAAAAATAGTACGAAAGTAATCATCACTATTTTGATAGATGCAAAGTAATACGTTTTTATGCGAAGTTGAGGAAGTAGCCAGATTTATCCTTAGCACACAGCATTTTATTGTTTCCTCGGAATTAAACATTTCTGGGAATGACAACCAAACAGGGTCCATTGTAGAGAAGTATTTCTAAATTCAATTGAAAAATTGAGGAATATAAAAACGATTGAGCATGGTGTTCTGACGGATTGTCATTAATACGTCGATTATTTGTGAATGACAATGTGACGTATTATGAATACAGTAGACTCTCGTTATAGTCGCACTCACGGGGCTGTAGGGGCAGCCGATTCTGAGAATGGGACTGTATTTCCCTTCCCCCACCAGGCGCTCACGGTAAGCCTAAATTCCGGGAATCGGGAGCGATAAGAAAATAAATTTTACTCCAATTATTTTTCTCTTCAATTTGCATTGAACATTTTTATTAAATATAAAAATTATTTTCATTAAACACTTTTATTAAATTAACAAAATGAATTGCGTTGAACACTTTTAGTAAATTAATGAAATGAATAGAAATATTAATAACATCGCTTTGTTCAATACTCCAAAATTTATTCACTTCATTCAAATAAAAAGCAGGATTATGCACCACTACAAAGACCCTCTCTTCGTGACAGTCAAGAGTGAACTGAATTTCCCTCTCGCAAATTCATTTTTCCTAAATTTTATTTCCCGAATTTCTTAGAAATGCAAAACAAAGCCCATTCCGAGAAAACACAGGGGCATTTCAGTAGCGAAGCGGTAAACCGGGTTAAGTCGTTTTTTACTATTGGCTAGTTTTTGACGAATATCTCGGAATCTAAAAGAGATAGAAAGATTTTTGTCATGACCTTTTTTGTAGAGCCAATAGAGCGTTATAAAAAAAGTTATGAGAAAAATTTTGCCATCTCTCTTAGATTCCGAGATATTCAGCAGAAACTGGCTAATAGTCAAAATCGACTTAACTCGGTTTACCGCTTCACTACTGATTTAAATCCACACCTCGGAGGTTGTACGGAGTGGGGGAAGCGCTTGAGCTCGAAAAAATCGATATGAGGGGAAATGCGACTATAACGAATGCGACTATAACGAGAGTCTACTGTAATGCGTTTGCTTGGAGCAGGGTTCGAAATTAGTGGAATATGTTAGGGATGGCCGAGATAATTATGGATTTTTGGGAGTGGGTGAGCGGGTCCAATAAATCACTGCACGCACGTGGTTTTCACGAAGCACAATATAATTGTCACTAGTAATTAATTGTCACAGAGTCAAAAAATGTACAAAAAATAACTGAATAATGAGCTGAACAAATTGAAAAATAATATTGAGCCGAACTATAATTGATAAAACAATTGAGCAGACAACGGGTTATGTAACCGGGTGGTCAGATAGACACGTGGTGTACGCTAGCACTGATTCATATGTCATTTACAGGTTCGATTGATCTGCAAACAGCCTATTACCTCCACGAGGATTTGAAATTGGCCCAGCGTCACCTCGTCCTCACGAATGATCTCCACGTTCTCTATCTAGTCACTCCCTACGATGTAGCGAATCAGATAAAACCTGTGGGTTCAGTCCTCTACGATGTGATCATGAGTTTTTCACCTCTAACAATGCAAGTCCCAAAAGTCTTAGGGCTTACCGAAACTGTGCTGATGAAACTACGGGAAGGGATAACGCCAAAAAATATCTCATCACGAGTTATTCATAGATTTTACCTGACGATAATGCTCCATGAATTACAAAAAGGAGAGACCGTTCATTTAGTTGCTGAGAAATTTCAAGTGACCCGAGGAGTTACCCAAAATCTTGTCAGCTCTGCAGCTTCGTTTGCCTCTTCAGTCGTCAGATTTTGCCAGGAGATCCCAGAATTTTGGGCTTTTGCCGTTTTTTTGAAGTCTTTCAGTAAGAGGCTGACCATGTGTTGTGTAAAAGAGCTAGATACACTGATGGAACTACCAGCTGTGAAAATAGGAAGGGCTAGACAATTGTACGACGCTGGGTTCAAAACACTTCAGTCAATTGCCTCTGCAACTCCCAACGATTTGCAGAAGAATTTGAAATACGTTTCGAGGAAAACTGTTGAGCAGATTATTGTTACGGCGAATGTGAGAATCTTCTATTCACAAATATTAATGATTTAACAATATTATTGGGCCCGTCTTTGATCCTCAATATCTTCTGAGCAGATGATGCCATTGACAGATCAATGCGATCTCATTTTGAAGATAGACAGGATTAATGTCACTCTGTCATTCTCGAGTTATTGACGATTGAAGACCGTCCGTTTTATCCTACTCTCTATCAGTTTTCCTTCTTAAAAATTGCGACTTTCACATCTACAAAATTTCGAAAGGGAGGTCGCAATAGCTTGATTGCAAAATCACGTTCACAGTAGGTGATTGAAGTTTGTGTGCTGCTAGATGGAATTAAGGCCCGGGTGTACTGTCTTCCGAACGTTATCTAGATTTTTTTTTAAATATTTTTTATCTACAAAGCCGTGCAATTTCAATTTGATTTTCTGTCACTAAGAGATCTCTAAAAATTATGATTGTATATTTTTAAAAACTAGAAAAAATTAGGAACATTTTCGATGAGCCTTTTTAATAAATATTGAGAAATGAGTGAATTGAGGGAGAAATTAGGAATGCGTAATTATCATGGCAAATGGCGGTCAGTCAATCGTCAACATGGAGGGAGGGAGGATGAAACGACAAATCTCCCAATACTCCGCACATACATAATTAATCCCAAAAAGGCTCTTTGAAAATTTTTTAAATATTTTTATGAATTTTTTGAACACTTCTATGATGTAGTAATAATCACTCGCGACGTAAAACTTGATTGAAAATTACGTTGCCCATCAGCTGTCATTTTATTATGCAACTGCATGATGTCGCTCCGAGGTACCCGGACATTGTACCCTGCTCTAACCACACAGCCACCGCCGTCGGTACAGGAACCTATTTAATTTTTAATTAATTTGACCGTGAAATATGTTACAATTGACGAGACCCTTGCCGAGAATTTTACATCACAAATCCCGTTATTCAAGCATATTCGCTTGGTTTCATTGATTGGTTTGCCCATCTCTTCCTAAAAAAGGGGGAGATTACCACCTGTTTTTTGAATGGCAGAGCACGAGATAAAATCATTGATATTATACCTGTACTGAATTGTTCTCATTTCATCGTCTTTACTTGGTGCAGGTTGGGGCCTTATTATTTGTTCGAATGATAAAAGTGGAAATTTACATAGGGGTCGCATTTTATTCCGTATTCCATTTTACGTTGTAGTATCTTTTTATCCCACTTCTCATGACTCACATTTCTATCTAAGCGCACAGAAAATATCTATTCACTTCCACAGAGGGATACAACGACTTAATGTTGCGAAACAATTTCTTCAGCCAAATCTATCATCTACACTGAGAAAAAAAATCTCCCAAAAATTAGTGTGCTGTCCCCCAACGCCGGGACAGAACGTGGGGTCGTCGAAAAATTCATAAGTGGCACCCTAATTTTTGGTGGGACTCCGGCCACTTTTTCGGGGGATTCCCGTAAAAATTAGTGTGCCACATGCGAATTCTCCGATGAATCCCTGTTATGTCCCAGCGTTAGTGAACAGCACACTAATTTTTGGAAGGATTCTCACAAAATTACGATGTATTTTTTTCTCCGTGTATTGCGGACGGTTGACCTGTTGTGTAGAACTCTGTACAATGGGACAGGCCAAATACGAACACCGTGAAGTGCTTATGACTTGATTTCATGTGGAGTGATGATTCCTCTCCAAGAAATCGTTTTTTTGGCAGAGGATGGGGAAATGATTGAATATACTAACAGCCGGCCCAGAGAATCGTGAATCAGGGAGTTTCGTAGTGAATGTAGAAGTCAGGCAAAAGGAAAACTTGAGACATTCCTGAGACATGACTCTTCCTTGCTCTCAATCGCAAAGGAAAAATTAGTATTTTAAATTTTCCTTGTCGTTTCAAGAATACCATTGCAAAAAGTTCCACATTGCGGATTTGTCATATCAACTCGACTTGTGGCCACTGTTGGATATATCTGATAAGATTAATAATTTTTTGTTATAGTTAATATTGATGGAGAAAGTAGAGAACCTTAAGGACGAGTATGCAGAGTTGATGGAGGGCTTGCAGGCGAGCTAATTCTCTCAACAATAGAGTACAAAAGACTTATAATCTATCATGAGGCGCAAATATACAGTTTACGTGCATAATTGATGAATCATGATTTACTTATTGATATTCCTGATAAATATTGTGTCATTCAGATCAATATATTGGAAGAATAATATATTGATTAAGCAGGCACATAGAGTACTAATCCATAATATAATGCGTATTACAATGGTACACCGAATTTGTTCATTTTGTTCAGAAGAAAAATATTCTAACTAGTGAATAGAATATGGTTTCAAACGAAAAACTAGAATTTTTTTTTGTTAAAGAGACATTCTGAGTAGAAAGTAAAATAATAAACGAATTGTTCGAGATCGACAATAATCATTAATTTGTTAATATTTTTAGAAATAATTCGAATCATCAGCTTCAATAGTCAATTGCTATTCGCAATTTTCCGATTCTTTCATCAATCGGCAATCACAACAAAAGATTGTGCATTGAATTCGTCTTCAACAATTACTATTAGGGTATGATCGATTAATAAAAAAACTAATAATCGGAATTGCTAAAGAATCGATTATCATTTTAATCATGAATGGAAACCGCAAATTAAATAATTGATCGAATAATCCTCAATAACGATGAGCAATTATTTGAATATCGGATCAATTCTCAATCACTACAGAAAATTAATTGATTCTCCATTCCATTAATAATCAAATATATAAATTTCCGAATGATTTTGATGATATCTCATTAAATTACAAAAATTTATAATTTTTCTTAGTTTTTCAGGTCCCCCATAGACATTATCACGAATTCTAATTACGAAAAAAAATATTAATTTGTGATAAAACGATGAGAGAACGTTTCTCCGTGGTTTCCCCTACGCAGTTGAATTTTCACTCCCACCCTGCAGCAGCTCTCTTCCCACTCTCAGCACTGATTAACGAGGATAGGTAGGGACCGAGTGCATCGCTCTCTGCCTAAACCTGTACAGCTTCCCCCCTCACATGCGCGGTCTAGGTTTTATATTCTATGTGAGCCTCTACCATGATGTTAGTCTCCTCCGTCTCCTCTTTGGCTCTGAGGGCTCTGAGTCAAATAACACGTGATCTAAACAGATATGGCGACGTACAGGAGACTTCTGAATGCTCTGGGTAATTCCATGAGTCATTACTTTAATTATTCGACGGCTAGGTGAGATTTTTGAGGACTTTATTCGGTAATTTAAAAAATTCGAAATTTTTATGTTATGAGTTTTAGTCATGACTTTTTGAATAGAGGAAGATCCGAGAAAATGTGAAATAATTGGAGGTTAACCTTGAGATTCGTGCAAGTTTTGAAAATTGGATGTTCCAAAGGATCAATAGAAAATTTGTGGCGTTATGATAATGAACAAGCGAAAAATTGAATTCATTCATCTACTTAAAGTTATTCATTTTTTTCCTCCTTGAGTAGAGAAACCTGTGGCTTTCATGGTTCGGTCAGTATTCTTTACATTCCATTAAATTTTGGTTATTAATTCATTTTTCATTGAATTTCAAATGAATGGAGTCTTCAAGAACAGGCATATTCGGTCTAAGAAAAGGGTGATTCTAGAGAAAAATATTTGTATTTTTGCTTCCGAATGGAAGCTTTGAAAATGCAATTTTTTTCGATTCTCTAATTTTCGAAACGTCGAAATATATTGTTTTTAGACGATGTCTGCATGCGTGTGTGTGCGTTTGTCCAGAAATGTGTCAATAACTCCAAAACCGTAATTACAAAAAACTTTTGAAATTTTGGCTCATAGTTGGTACCAACGAGATACAAATCGAACAAGTAGTTACGGAGATATTCACCTTTGTATGTGAAACTTTTTTCTTTAATATTTTAAAAACCACTCCACCGAATTCAATTTTTTTTTTCAAAATATTCGTTATAATGGTGGATATCTGACCAAATTGAAATATAAGTACCGTTACATTGAAAGTTTTCAAAATATTGCTATTTTTCTATTTTTAGGTGTGTAGCGAGACGCTACATGCCCCCCCTCCCCCCTCTATCTTGGAACACGCAAAAAACATATTTATGGCACATCGTCTTTTTAAATTATCCCCTATTTTCATTTCCTCACCCCTAACTCAGAGAGGGATGGAGCACGATTTTTTTCTGTTCGCGCACTATTTCACACATAAAAAACACATAATTTTGACCCAAAAAAATATGCCATTTTTTGACATTGTTCCGCTAACTTTAGGGAAGTCCCACCGAATCCATTTAGGATTGAAAAATCCAACCAAAATTAATTTGTCAAGTGAAACATGAAAATTCAATTTTCGTCTAAAACTTTCATAAGTTGATGAAAAATTGACAAAATTGGACAAAGCAGATGTCATTTTGAAGCTTAATTAATGTTTCACAATGAGTACACTACATGTATGGTTCATGCAAGAGAAAGAAGGAATTGAGTACAGAAACCAAAGAATGAAGTTGGTAATGCTCACGAATATTTTTCTATATTGGATATTGGACGAACAGAAAAATGGGAATTGGTTGGGAAGTTATTGGTTTGACCCTTAATGGGTCACACTCACTCCAGCCCAGATGCAATGGGAGCGAGCGAGCAAGCGACCAAAAACCCAGTCCAATGTTTCCTATTTGTGATGAACTTAGACTGAGCTCAATTGATAAATCTGTTCTGAGTTATGAATATTAAAAAAAAAATTCAAGTGTCCATTTTACCTCACCCTCCTCTGCTCATAAATTGGAAACAAATTGACTTTATTATTTGTTTTGAATCCAGAAATAGATTATTGGTGTGTCAACCGTGTGCGACTTTCAAGTCACGTGCGATAGAAAAAAAGCTTGGCATACCACCAAGACCGAAGAGACCAATGACTCCATTCATCGTGTATGTTGTATCAGAGAGACCAAGAATTGCGAAGGAAAACCCTGGCTTGCCACCCATAGAAATAATGAAGAAACTCGCTGAAGGATGGAAGACCTTCGACTCGACGCAGAAAGAAGAACTTAAGAAAACATACATGAAGGAGCTCGAAGAGTACTCAAAACAGATGATGACATATGAGCAGAATCTGACTGACGAGCAGAAGAGAAGTATCAAGGCCGAAAAATTCAGAGAAATTGAAGCTTCTGAAAAGCAAAAGATGAAATCTGTAAGTGGTAAAAGAGAATTTTTATTACTACAAAATCCTCGGGAGGATATTTTTGCATCAAAGAGATAGACAATTGAATCTTGAACAGGGTGACGTCCGCATCTTGCTTACACTTTCAAGGGGATACGGGATAAGGCGAAATTAAAAAATATAAGTTTCCGGACTGATAATTGCAAACAATTAAATTAAAAGCCCCTTCGTGGCAACAATTCGCTGAAGTGACTATTCGCCCGAAGTGTATTATAGTGTTTGCAACCTCTTTTATTCTCCTTCACACCTTTACAAAAGCATTTAATTATTGCTGCTGGAAAAATTATGACGGATTGTGATGCTCCTTCGTTAATTCGGAGCATTTTCTTCTCTTTCATGGTCTTTTTCATAATTTTATTCGACGATGCCATGAATTAGAAACTTTAATGAATTATTCGAAATTTTTTCAAATTCTCCATGAAATCCCGCAATTCTTGGGAATTTTGCTTGAAAAACTTGGAAATTTTTGTGAAGTTATGTTCTCAGAGTTTTCAAATCATATTCTTCTTTCCCGTTTGAATCAGAGTGTAGTAGTTGGGGCCACGTGACTGCTGCACATCAGTTTTATTTGGAAGATTCCGCCTTTTCCTATCAATTGTTTACCCATGAGTTATTCAAAAATTTTCTCATATTTAAGAGATGCAGAAAATTTCCCTCAATTTTCGAAAAACTCGTGCTTTTATTCGATTTTTTATTTCAGAAAATCTCATAGTTGTTTTAAATTCTCTGGAAAACTCCCGAATCATCTTACATGCAGAAAACAATCGACAATTTCCCTGATTTTTGAGGGAATATATGAACTTCCTTAAAGTTCCGATAATTCTTCTTGTTTTTAGAAATGAAATAGAGAATGTCCAGGCAGTAGCATGTTGATATATGGGCCTCACAATTAAAAATATCTGTATTATTATCTATTTTCACATGCCTATTAAATAGACTTTTATGGCGATTTTTGAAGTCTTCCAAGGAATTACGAACATAAAAATAAATTCGATAAGACCCCGTGTATAGAAAAACAATTCGTTTATTTCATTTAGTATAAGTTAGTTATTCTTTTTATTTATCAAAAATGTTGGTCCCTCATCAACCTGACAAATTATAGAATTTTTCTGTAAAATAAAAAAATATATATATTTTCGGAAAACGGATAAACATCGCTAATGTGCATTCGTTTTAAATTATCATAATTGAAAAATGAACTTCATAGCAGTGTCTGTAGGAAGTGGACTCGAATATTACACTCATCGTTACTCTCCCTTTTCAGAGACTGCGTGAACTTGGAAAACCTAAAAAACCTCCAACGATGTTCATCCTCTTTATGCTGTCCAGAGCCCACACCAAAAACAAAGGCATGAAATTTTCGGTAAGTAACCGTCAACGAAAATCTGCAGAATATCAGAGGATAGTAATCAAGTAGTAAAACTTTGTTAATTAGGAATTTATCTAGTAAACGCGCGGTAGTAGAGGAAAATAGTAAGATACATTTTTCGAAGCTGTTAATGTTTTGATGAAAAAAGTCTAGGCAATTCTTCCTGAAACCACTCAATACTGAGATCAATTATTACATAATAATAATCCGGTAAAAGTTTTCATCGCTGAATTGAATTCTTTGCTATTTTTTTATGGATTTTTTGAAAATGTGAGGATAGGAATTAAATTTATGGGTATTGGTTCATTATTCGAAAAAATATATCAATTTTAAAATTTTCCCTAGACATTGAAAAATTAAAAATTCTGTTTTTGTACAAACAGAATTCTGTTTTGCACGGCCTAGTGTCGAAATGTACTATTTCGTGTTGATCTCGTTTCTCTTCCTCTTTTCACTTTCTTCCATCAAAATTAGATAATAGAAACAAAATACATTGGTTTTTCTGCATTATTAAAAAAAAAAGTTTTGAAATTTTCAAGATTGAAAAATCGATTTTTAAAATTTATTTCTGATTTTCCTTCCCTACATTTTCCGTATTTCTGTAATTCGGACTACGATCACAGAAATTAAAAATGTCGATCTCCCTTCATTTTATAAGAAAAAAACCATTTGAAAAATTTTGAAAAGACAGAAAATTAATGATGATCGATCTCTCTTTGCAATTTCCTTCTTCAGTTCCATTGAAATGAGATCAAAGGTATGTAAAATGTTCATATTCGTTCACATTTTCAGATCACTGGTACTAATTAATTTAAAGAAAAAGAAAGAAATGAAAAATTTTAGGTATGATTATCGAAAATTGTTTATCGATCTATATTCTCATGTTTTTTGGGGGGAATTCCTCTTCATTCTATGTTGTAACTTGTGAATTGCGGAACAAAAATATTCATAGTAATAATAAGAATGAATAAAATTAAATTAATGTCATTGTGAAGACGGAAATGGAAAGAAAATAATAGTATAAATTAATCTAGCGACGGGCGCAAAGCGCCCGTTCGCTTGTTAATAATTAATAATATTAATAATAAAAACTTATTCACAGTAGTGATGAATAAATTGTTATACATTTATCCCGTGAATGAGTGATTTTAGGACAAAATGTCGAGACCGTTTAGGAAGTAAAAAATAGATAAAGTTTTCAACAAAGAATGTCTCATAATTTCTATCAACAAAACCCATTGTTGGACTAATTCGATATTTCATAATTATATATCGTAGCTGTATAACACATTAACATGGGAAGTTTCCCTCATTGAAACATCTAATCAATCCATCTTCATTAAACGATTCTTTCACTCTTCAGGATTGGCTGTCTATTGCTGCTAAAGAGTGGAACGAAGCCCCTGCGGACGTTAAAGCAAAATTCGAGAACGAAACTAAGAAATTGATGGAGGAGTACAAAAAAGAGATGATTAATTGGGAAGAAAAAATGATTAAACTGGGTCACATTGATGTTGTGAGAAAACAAGTTCTCATGGAGTTGAAGGGCAAGAGTATGTCGAATAAGAAGTTATAACTGCATTCAAAAAATTAATTTAAACAGATGCAGATGAATGCCTCCATAGGTCGCATAATTCATCATTTTTTTACAATTATTTTTGAACCGTTAGAATATTGTTTCTCATGAAGTGTAATGAAGCTTGGAGATATCAAACACAGTGAATACGAATACTTTTATATCTAAACAAAGCATTCTCAAATTTATTCAATCGCCTGGTAGAGGTAGTTCAATCATATCTCAGGAAAAAATGATCAAATGTGACGAGTCGATTTTGTACGTCTCCTCCGGCATAGACTTCACAAAAGAGTTGAGTTAAGGAAAAAGTGTCAAGAGACATTTCTTGTAACTGATAGAATGCCGAATACGAAAGATTTGACCTTTTTCCTAAAGAAAAATCTCGAATGAAAAATCGAAGAAATGAGTGTTTTTAGAAAACACTGTCAAAACATTTTCTTTTAGGAAATTTACTTATCATAGGAAAATGTCTCTCCACATTTTTCCTTAAAACCATTCGTTTCTGAGATCATAACATATGAGAAAAATATAATTCTTTACTTATGACGTTTTATCAATTGACCATGAATTTCATCACATTTCCGCGGAAAAAAATGTCATTATTCATTCACATAATCGATTTATTTACAACTGTGAATTGTGCAAGGCTCATATCAGTGGCATTGTGACTTAGCTCAGAATATCGAGGATTGAGAAAACTTGATATATTGATTGAAATCCATCAAGAATTCCGTTAGAATTGAGTAAAAAAACATTTCAAGCATCTGTTTGGTGGTCGACAATTATTTCGATTTTGTTGGGTGCTAGATCCGCGAAATCGTGCCAGTAGGACGTGCAAAAGTAATAAATTATCACAAAGCTAAATAGATAGAAGGAGAATTCCTTGAGGACTACAAAGCATAGCCTGGACGATGTTTTCAGTCGGTGGATTATCTCCGGCCTGATGTTGCATAGGATTAAGGCTGCAAACAGCATACTTCCATTCTGAGACTGCAGGGGATTGGGGCAGAAGAACATACGGGTGATTAGGATCACCAAGAATGGCACTATTATACTCTGAAACAGAATCAAATCAATGATTTTTCTTAAGATGATTATCACGATTTTTCTGCAAAATGTTTGGTTTTTAAAGATATCATCTGGGTAATAGATAAATTTAGGGGTGGAAGCTCCCGATCTCTGTTCTGCAGCAACTTCGTTGGGCTACAAATGTGTTTTTTCATTACACTGTCCGTAAAACGTTTTACGGACACTTCGTGTTCGGTCAAACGCCGATTTACGGACGTTATTAATAAAAATAATCTTCGTCACTCAGTCGAAAACAACTTTTTTTCGACCTTGTGACGAAAATAGCTATTTTCGCCCCTGTGGGCGCAAAGTACACATTTACTTTTTACCTGCTAACCACTGGAGGTAAAATAAAAGGCCCTTACCACGTGCTCATCTACGCCTTCAGCTCGGGTGGTAATTCCGCAGGTGGACACGACTCCTCTTTTTACCTCATTTGGTTAGAAATATTTTTTTTTTATTTTTTTTTTTTATGCTTATTTTATATCGCTTCGAGTCTGATGAGACTATATGGCGATTGATCAAGACTTTAAAAATGGTTAGATCTCACCATTCTACCCGGCCAGGAATCGAACCTGGAACCTATCCGTTGTGAGGCAAGGTTAGAAATATATAATTTTTTAAATTTTTTTCGTGAAATGTCTCATTACTCAGATCACTTAACAATTTATAAATGTGAGAATGAGTGAAATCCAATATCTAGACTTTATGAATATGTTGAGTATCCCAGTAATGAGTGATTCTTGAACAAAATAAGACATCTTTTATATATACACCCTCGACAAAGAGAATTCAAAACCGAATTCATGAATGATGTCAATGAAAGTTGTTTTTTATTATACTTCATCTTAACGGACGAAAAATATATTGAACTTCAGCTAAAACTGCGCTTTTGTCAGCATGTACTGCTATACCCGCAAATGTCGCAATACACTTTTGTAGATAGGGGAGGATGGGGCAAAACGGCCCCCCTTCAATCGTCAATATTTTCCGATTCAATAATCCGATTGGGATGAGTTAGAGCTCGTTTTGAAGAATGAAAAATTATCTTCAAAATGAAGTTGAAACTGGGAATTTTCACAATGTCATTCACAAGTTATTGACAATTGAAGGGGGGCCGTTTTGCCCCACCCTCCCCTAATTAAACAATCTATGTATAAGGTTCCTCGGTATTTCACTAAGGACCAGTTTTACCGGAATAATTAATTAATAATTACTCCGATTAATAATATCGATTCAAATGATTTCTTCATTTTTCTTAATGAATCATTCAGTAAAAAAAAACTCACCGTTCCAAATAGATGTTCTGTTCTCAACACAATCATGATATTCACAACAACAGCAAGGGCAACGTAAACCCATCGACTCGCGAGGAATGAAATCAAGTTGGAATCCTTCCATTTTTCAGCTTCCATTGAAGGATTTTCTGCACATGAGAAAAATGAATTTTGGTGATCTGGTATAAAATCATCCTTGTGTGCCTGGCCTTGGGGGTCTCCATTGGGAGTGTATCCTAGATTCCTTCTTCGAGGAACGTTAGGGGGACTCAACGGGTTCGTAGTAAAAAGATCTTGTTGTGATGTAGAGGGGAACTCATCCTGGAATTCGGAGTGAATGTTCCAGGAGTCAATGACAGACTCATTTGGGATCGCTTCCTTGAATGTTGATGGTGGCGATGACTTTTGCAGAGGCTTCGAAGCATCTTCTAGATAATTATACAATCAATTAATCAGTTTTGTCATTTATCAAACATTAATGGAATGATGACACGACTGAAATAAGCTTCAAAGTTTGTTTTGGAGAAATATGTGGAAATCGGAGGGAGATGGTGGAATTTTTATGAATAATTTTTGTACAGTAAAATGAAAAATTGTGGAATTACCCAAATATATAATATCTATCCGGCTGCGGCTGAAATAGATAAGAGGTCTTTACTCTATTGAAAAATTATGCGAATTGCAATGCAAATATGCCAGTCGGTGGGATAGTTGACACCCAGCCATTAGGAGACAAGTTCATAACGGTTTGGTTGTCAAACTAACTCAGATTTGTATTAGGATTTACTCTATTTTCCATCTGAGAAAACACCTATGATCCAATTCAGCCGTAACCAGATAAACTAAGGGAGATTTCTAGCTGAGACTAATATATTTTTGTTCACTCATAAAAGCGTGGGGATGTCTCAAAATATCTCCGCTTTCCTCAATGTTATAGGGGAGGGTGGGGTAAAATGGACACTAGATTTTTTTTTAATTATTCATAAGTCAGAAACAAATTTATCAATTGAGCTCAGTTTAGGCTCGTTACAAAGGGAAAGAATTGTTCTTTGTATTGAAAATAAAATTATTAAATTTTATCAACATTGCAACTCCTCATTACCATTTTAAAAAAAGTCAAAAGTGTCCGTTTTACTCCAACCTCCTCTACCCATATGTTATAGTCGGGAGAAAATTTATTTTTCCTTTGGAAAAAATGGTTTTCCTTTGTTTTCATTGACAAATCAACAATTTGACAATAGAAACCATGGAAACTAAGTTCATGCAAGAAAAGAAGTTTTGATTGAACTATAACGAATCAAAATCGAAAGAATTCAATTTCTTCCCAGCCTAAGAGAAGGAACAATTGATGAAATCATTTTTCGATCATACTTTTTAGCCAGCGCGAGATTAAATAGACTAAGGGAACAGATCATTAATCCAATTGACAAGGTTATGTTGCCTTTAAACACCAGCGATTTGATGCTTTTTTTTTACCGATTATCGTGACAATTTACCTGGAAACTTATCAGCACTTGTTTGTCCAGTGATTTTCTGCAAACGTTCCTCTGAATTTTCCAGTATTCTTCTTTTCCTCGCTTCACGTCTGGCTGCTGCATCAGCCATGATTAATGGAAATTGTAAAAAGTCAATTTCGATACATAACCTAATCAAACAACATGACCAATAGCGAATATACGCATTTATTTTTAATTTTTTTATCTAAATCTAGAAGTTGGGACAATTTGGAAAACAATTTTTACTACCTTCCAAGTAATATTTTTCAACGAAAAATCGTTGATAGACAAGTGCAACATTTTAGAGATCTGGTAAATAGTGTAGTCAAATTGGCATTTAGGTGCTTTTTTAATTCAGCGCGGATGAAAAAATACCCATTCGATAGATAAAATTGTCCTGAATAACATATCATAATGATCAAACGTAGATCGGTGCAGAAAATATCTAAAAAAAATAAAAAAAGATCAGGGTTCTTAGGCGAACGCTAAGAATCCATGTAGCTTCAATTAAATTCAATCAATTGTTGAGAAAAAATACCAGCGTGTAGTGGGAATAAGTCTCTACAGAATTAAGTTAGAAACCAATAGTCCACATTCACTAGTTTTGCCGTAATAAATTATTAAGTATTTTTAACCCCATATCTGGTAAAATGATCAGCTGATTCCGTAAGGCCCACCTCTTTCTGCGCGCGCACTTGTCTCAAAGTGGGGCAATGCGCAGTAGATTTAAACTGTAGAATAGTACATTAGAGTACAAGGGCACAAATTTCGTTTTCAACGAATGTGTAGTTTACAGGCCGAGCCGAAGGCGAGGTCTGAACACACATTCGTTGAAAACGAAATTTATTACCGAGTGCTCTATAATATTTTATGTCAAGTCGTGCAGAAGTCGAGTTTTGAGCAAGCTGCTCAAAACTCGACTTGATATATGGGAAGCGGATAATATTCACGCAGACAAGGCCTCGCGCGTCGAAGATGCGGAGGCTGAATGGGAACTTGCTCAGTCTTATTTTAGGAAGGTTGAAAAACGTTTTGGAACTTTTTCAGTAGATCTGTTCGCTTCGAGATTAAAAGTAGATCGGTGCAGAAAATATCTAAAAAAATTAAAAAAGGATCAGGGTTCTTAGGCGAACGCCAAGAATCCATGTAGCTTCAATTAAATTCAATCAATTGTTGAGAAAAAATACCAGCGTATAGTGGGAATAAGTCTCTACAGAATTAAGTTAGAAACCAATAGTCCACATTCACTAGTTTTGCCGTAATAAATTATTAAGTATTTTTAACCCCATATCTGGTAAAATGATCAGCTGATTCCGTAAGGCCCACCTCTTTCTGCGCGCGCACTTGTCTCAAAGTGGGGCAATGCGCAGTAGATTTAAACTGTAGAATAGTACATTAGAGTACAAGGGCACAAATTTCGTTTTCAACGAATGTGTAGTTTACAGGCCGAGCCGAAGGCGAGGTCTGTACACACATTCGTTGAAAACGAAATTTATTACCGAGTGCTCTATAATATTTTATGTCAAGTCGTGCAGAAGTCGAGTTTTGAGCAAGCTGCTCAAAACTCGACTTGATATATGGGAAGCGGATAATATTCACGCAGACAAGGCCTCGCGCGTCGAAGATGCGGAGGCTGAATGGGAACTTGCTCAGTCTTATTTTAGGAAGGTTGAAAAACGTTTTGGAACCTTTTCAGTAGATCCGTTCGCTTCGAGATTAAACAAGAAATGTTCAAAATTTTACTATCGGTTCCCGGATCCCGAAGCCCATTCAGTCGACGCCTTCACTGTCAACTGGAACAGTGAATTCTTTTACGCGTTCCCTCCGTTCGCGCTGACTCTCCGCACATTGAGAAAAATTATAAACGATAAAGCGACGGGTGTTCTTGTATTACCACCAGTCACTTTCTCGCCTAATAATTCCTTGTTGATATCTCCTTTTAGAGACAGAATCATCCGCTAGCATCCCGGCTTTCATTGGTGACAGGGAAATTGTCAGGTCAGCGTTCTTGAGGAAAAGGATTCCAGAGGACTGGAAATAATGATTAAATCTGTCACTGACTCAACTCTCAAGCAATATAATTGCAGCCTCAAACGCTGGTGGACCTATGCGCACAGGAATAAGCTAGGCATTCATACTGCTAATACTTCAGCAATTATTAGATTTTTAAACTCGAGATTCCGAGAAGGTGCGAATTATAGTACTCTAAACACAGCTTGTGTGGCAATTTCTCTGATATCAGTGAATGATATCAATGAGGATTCTAATCTCTAGAATCTACGAGAAATCATGCGAATCACAAGAATTCAAGAGAAATCATGATTTCTAATGCTGATTGAGTAATCACCAAAATCATTTGAGATATCACAGAAATCAACAGGTAATCATCTGATTCTGGAAATCACTGAGTTACTCGATTGAGGAATATGACCAGCCCCTCGGAATTCAAGAAGGCAAACTCTATCCGTGTTTGTGATTGGAGGCACTCCACTTCAATTACCGCATATTCAGTATCTAAGTCATTAAATTTCAAATTCAGTCTCCATAGAGGTTTTCGATTTCTGACGTTGTGCCTATAATGCCTGAAGTTTGGCAACCATGACTGCAAGCCGATTTTGTTATCTCATAATTTCGTGTTTTCATTTTTCCAGCAGTGCAAACCGTCGACAAACATCTCGAATTTAAAGCTAGGGTACCCCCTTACCTCAGACAGTCGAAAAAAATATCAAACCGTTGATTGATTCACATTTCCGAGACTCATTGTCACATTCTTCACATTTTAATGCATGTATCTTGGGTTTTACGCAATATAAATCACCCATAAAAATCATCTGATGGTTGTTTTTGGTCCTACCATGGGACCGAACCTTTACGTGACCTTGCAGACGCCGGATAACAACAAACACAACCGTTCCTTCGCTGTTTCTGAGGGTCCGAGGAGAATTTAGCAATTAGTAATCGAGTAATCCTTCATCGAATGTGAAATAAATCACTTCTACAACTTGTAATCAGTATTAATCATGGATAGTAGCGGAATGGATGTGATGACTGAACTTCGGGCTCACGTGAGTTGAAGCCATTCATTCGTTGATTTATCTCATATTTTCGGCTGCTTTTATCGGTGTCTCATGGAATTTTTTTTTATTGTCATGTCAGTGGTGCGACGACTTGGAGGAGTTGCTGGAGTGCCCTGTGTGCCTGGATTTACTCAAAGGAAAAGTTTTTCAATGCATTCAGGGACATGATGTATGTCAATACTGCAAAAAGTCACTGGACATGTGTCCAGTGTGCAAATCAGCATTCAGCGAGAGTCGTAATTGGACTGTCGAGAAAATTGTTGCAAAGTTCGAGGAAATAAAGGTAATTCGTATTGGATGATAATCATTGACATTTAATTACGACGGCAGGACAAAGGCTTTTGCCGTGAATTGTTCATTTGTTTGGTAGGGGAGCATAGGGCAAAATGAAACACGGGGCAAAATGAAACAGTGGGAAAATCTCGTCATCTAAAGGAGATAGGACATTTTTGAAGAGGACCTTTTTTGTAGCTTGTAAAATTCTCTACAAAAAAGGTTCTTATGAAAATCGTCCTATCTCCCTTAGATCACAAGATTTTCTTGCTGTTTCATTTTGCCCCGTGTTTCATTTTGCCCCATCGTCCCCTATCTAAATAGTATATTTCGTCATTAGGCCGAAAAAAACTTTTCTGGCGAATATGAGGTTTCAGCACGAGCCGAAGGCGACGGCTGCAATCATATTCGTCAGAAAAGTTTTTTACAAATTTTCGGTCTTTAATTATGAAGAATGTGGGGGGAGATGCATTGTAAGTCGTATATAAACAAAAATTTTTTAATCATCGTTCAATCAATTGAGAACGTTTTTTTAGTTATCGAGGGACAACCAATTTTCAAAAAAATTAAAAAATTGAAAAAACTAATCAATGAATTAAATTTTAATTAATGGCGATCGATAGGACTCAACAATAGCTACATTAGAAAAAAAAAGATTCAATTCCATCCATTTAAAATTTTACCACACACATGCATACATGCACACATTCGTACGGACATGGACTGAAAATTACATTTTCATCACACTGTGACGAAAAGTGAACTTTTCGGCACGCTCCGCGTGCCTTCGGCTCGTGATATGAACCTCCCACTCGCCAAAAAACACTTTTTTGCACTCGTTACGAAATATACTATTTCATCACGCTGTGACGAAAAGTGAACTTTTCGGCACGCTCTGCATGCCTAAAAATCCAATTTCCGCCACATTGTGATGAAAAATATATACTATTTCGGACTTTTTGGGCCATAATGGTTCGATATAACGCGAAAAATCCAAAACATAAATTCAAACGATATAACATTGGGAAGCAAAAATAAGAGAAATAGAAGGAATAATAGTATGGCTTATTTCGATTGCAATTTATTCATTGCAACGAAATAATCAACTCTTGAAATCTGCAGTCTGGACCCCAATGCTCGCTTCTTGATGATGGGAAATGTGGAGAGAGATTAATCCCAAAATATTTGGATGAAAGCCATGCTTTTGTAAAATATAAATCTGAATTGTGACCGGTAAATAAGTTTTGAAATGAATTCTTCTTATATTTTTCATAAATATAAGTATAAAAAATAATATTAAGAACTAGTATTTTAAATTTGTTTTCTAACAGAATCAGGAAGTGTTTTTTTACTGAATCTCCCCTTATTTACTGAATGATAGAATATTATCTTGTAGCCGAAAAAATTCTCTGCCAACAAGGTTTTTTGACATATTTCCGTAGAACCACTAATTTCTGAGATAATTGAAAATCCATCGAAGACATTAAAGTACTTCCGCAGTAAGTAGTAAATTTCGAAATGGTATGAAGACGCAATATTTGGATCATATGTTGTTGACCACATTAAAAAGATATTCCCAAAATTTCAAGTCCCTGGTCCACCCCATTTTTGAGATATGCATCGCCAAACATTCAATTTTTGTGTTTTTTCCATTTTTGACGATGTATATCTCGAAAATGGGGTGGACAAGGTCTTTATACCATTTCGAAATTTTCACCAAGTATACTTACTGCGGAAGTTCCTTAAATCCAACTTGCTGAATAAGTCATAGCCAAGTAGCGAGCGATTAAATTCGGAGAATTTTTTATATTGAGAATTTGAGTCAAAACTAAATTAAATATTGTAACGATTATCCAGCATGACGTCTTTTGAATGCATTTTCCCAGCTTCAAAGGTGGAAATATTTGAATTTTGTAATTTTTTCACAAAGATTGAAATTTTTCCATGAAACTACTCGTTGCTGAGATAAATCGACTATTAATCTACGCATCAGTGCGTTGATCAACTCAAATATCAAATTAGAGGATTTTTTCTTTCTCAGTCATGAGTGATTTTAGGAGAAAATGTCAAAAGACAATGTTGCATCCGAGGAAATCCTCTGAAAAAAGGTCTTCTGACATTTTTTCCTAATTCCAACAACTAAAAAGATAATTCAACAATGTACAAGATGAAAATCTATCGACTTGAAAACTTTTATTAATTTTATCAATTTGCGGAGAATGACAGTACATTTTTCTGTTATGTAGCTTTCACTAATGGAACCCGATCACGATATCAACAAATCTGTTATCCGTTTGAAGAAGTCAGTGGCGACCCAAACAACAGAGTCGGGTGGAGGGGTATGATTGGTTTTTATTGTAAATATTTCATATCCAGTTTGATTCATGTTCGAACGATCAATAAATAATTGTAACAATTTTTCGTGTGATTTGTCGTCGTTAGGCTATTATTCGTCGCAGTTCAAGAATAGCTGGTCGTGAAAAGATGAACACTAAAACCACAACAGGTGGAAAGAAATGAAAAATAACGAGAACGAAAAGGGGGAGAGAAAGGAGAATTGTTGCATATTTGTTTGCGTTATATGAGTGTCATTATTTCCATTATCTTCATTATTCTAATAACCTTAATGAGTAAAGGATGGGAGGACAACAGAAGATTTTTTTTGTGTTGATAACGTAGAGAAAGTGGGTGCTGTATTAAACAACTAAAACGTAATGAGTCGATATCTTAATCTAACAAATATAAAATATTATCTGCGGAATGAAGTGATTCCCGGACGAAATGTAATGAGAAATGTTTAATAGAGAATTTATTCATTTATGAAGGAGATCTAACATTTTCTTCTGAAATGCCATGTCTCTAGGATAATTGCATTGGTGATAAATTGCGTGCTACTAATTTATAGCAATAATCAATGATAATTATTGCCGGCCTGTAATTATCATAATCACGGAATCATTTGCAGTGAAGTTATGAATGCGGATTGGAGACTAGTGTGAGAATTAAAAAAAAATTGATTAGCAAATATCTCTTTAACTGTTATAATAATTTTTAAAAAACTCTAGGAACACTTTTTGTAACTCATGTAACATATAAATTTCAATTACTCATTACGTTATACGTTACGTTCGAATTAAATGATTTTCTCATTCCTCATTCGTTCAATCCTCTCATGAATAAGCGATTGTAGGAGACAATATCAAGACCTTTTTTCATTGCTGAGAATTCCATTACTTACTGAAAAAGTTTCTTGATATTTTCACCTAAAAGCAGTAATCACCTGAATCATCTCCACAATGGGAAAAATTCTAAGACGAAACCAATACGATGTAGACATTTTTCGCTCTTACGGTTATATGATGATTCTAGCTGAAAAATTTTTCAACAAAAAATGTCTGTTGCTATTTTGTTCCAACTCGTGTAAATTCACTACTCCCAGATATTTTCTCCGGCTCGTTTCCTTCTATCATTTGACGACTGAATTCTTCAAATGACTGTCAAACATTTTTGATCCATTCATTTTTTTATTTCTCAATTTTTAATAAATACATTGCATTAAATTCATTAACATTATTATGCATATATTCATCAATAAGAGCTAATTCAAACCACTTGTTAATTGATGAATAATGATATTTTTTTTGCGTGTAAAACAAAACTATAAATTAGTACAGGTAGGAAAACGAGCGGAAGCGATTCTTTTTCTTCATTCAAAAGTAACATTTCAAGGCAAGAATTAAACACTGCAGCTTAATGCAACTGATAGAAAATCTTCAAAAGCAATTGTTATTTCACCTGTTTGCTGTGTGTCTCGTGCTCTGAATGCCTCTGAAAATATAAATAGAGCGCCATTAGTTTAATATTCATAAAATTTAAACGACTGTTTATAAATGACGAACATCATTTTTTGTCATAACAGTCGCGCTGCCTTACGGACGGGATGACAAAATAATTTTACCTGTGAATTTCTGAATCTGCACGCACAAGACAATAAATTGGTCCACAGTGATGCTTCCTGTGTGATTGAAATCGCTCTTCTGAATCAAATATTTAATAAAATCAGAGCTAAACCTGTAGCCCATTTGCGTGAATGCAGCTGAGAGTTCATGTTCTTGAATACTTCCTGAATTATCATGATCAAATCCTTTGAACACTCCTAGCCAGGCGTTGATGTAGTTAAAAAGAGCCTGGAATTCTTCGAGATTGATCATTCCAGTTTTTTCTTTGTCGAACATTCCTGGAAATGTATGAAAATTTGATTTTATGACAATATTTTCATTTTCGTGAACATTGATACAGTTGACCATAAGATAAGGGTTCAATTATTTCGTCAGAGGAACTTGGAATGAAAATGCCAAAGGACATTTTCCGCAACCCACAAAATTTTCGACATAACAATCTCTTGAAATTTCTCACTAAAATCATCCATTATCAAAATGATTAATTAATCGACAAAACATTCTGAATTCTGTTACATTATTCGTTGAATTATCTCAGTAATGATCTTCAGGATATCCTGTCCGAAATGAATTTAGTGAATTATTGATTGACATTTAAATGATGAAAATGATTTGCATGAATCAAAATGTTTTAATTCATAACAATTTCTATTGGGAATAAAATTCAAAAGCATTATTAAAACCAGTCGTCCATCGCTCCTCGTCCTGGAAAGGTGTAGTCCTTCACTGAGAAAAACATTAGTTTTACCAAGGAATCATTTTCTTTGGGAGAATTTTTTTTATCGGTCAGTCACTTCCAGTGATGCGACTACATATTATTCGTCAAATCATTTTGATAACGAATGATTTCAAGAGTGATCCGTGTTAACAGGTGTTTTTTGTCGGAAATTTTCTTGGCTACAAAAACAGTCGGGGCATATTCTCTGGAAATTGTTTCTTGCATTATTAATTATGATCGTGATTCCATGCAACAGATTTTGATCAATTTATCCACTCACCAATCATCAATTTACAAGCTGTATCCGAAAAAGATCCTCCTTGACCGTTAGCCAAAGCTGATCTTAGCTCGCCTGATGATATTTTACCACTTCTATCCCTATCAACTGCCTGGAACCATTGTTCAACTTCTGGAGATATTTGACCGCTGGCAGTGGCACCGTACATTGCACCCTGCATATGTCCAAGATTCTATTTTTTGTTGTTGTTAATCATAGGGAAACAAGAATCAACGAGAGTAAATGAAAAAATAAATTTAACTAAACAATAATCCCAATAAAATAATTTTAAAAAACCTGTGGCTTATATCCAGGGTTCAACAACCCATGTTCACTGAAAATCGGAGTTTTCTACGGTACCTAGTACAATACTGGTAATTTACCTCTAAATGGTAAAAAAGTTAAATAACTGGTAGAAACCAGACTCGACTATCAGTGAAGTATAACCCTCGTGACTGAATCTCATAAGGGTTGTACCTTGTGAGGATCAAACGTCACGAGTGCCATATCTAGGAAGCATCAAACATCATGAGGGTCATATCTCGCAAAGATTATGCCTTGCGAGGGCCAAATGTGGTACAGGTGTTATCTCGCAAAGATTCTGCCCCATGAGGGTCAAACGTCGCAACCTCAACGCAACGCAACGTCGTACCCTTGTGGGGTATGACCGTTGGGTCCCGTTTGACCCTTGACGATTTTCCTTCCTGCCCATTTTCCTGCGTTTTCTCTAAACTTTTAAAAAGAATCACAAAACTGTAGAAAAAACGCATGAAAATTATCCCCCCACTACGCAACTTCGTGAGCCATTAAAGAATGACAAACCACAAAATCGTTATGTTTTTTCACGTCACTCCCATCGATAATTTGCCAGAAAAATGAAAACAACGTCAATTTTGGCTAAAAGGGTGTCGAACATCCTTAAATATGAATTCATAAAATAAAAAGCAAAACTAATTCAGCAATGTTCATTTGATAATGTCAGATATATTGATAAATGCTGAGTATTGGCGTTTTGAAACGGATCGTTCTCAATCTCTTAATTGTTGATAAACTGCTAAATTACTGAATTAAAATTATCTGGAATTTGAACAAACAAAAGGCGATGAATACCCACCGGATATGCCATTTAGAACTCCTCAAAATTATTTTCTCCTTGTATAGAACACAAATTCACTACATAAAATTATTGGTTAATTATTTAATGAGTGCAGTTATAAAACTTTCCATTCTGGCGATCTAGGAGAAATATTTATTCCCCTCATCAAAGTGATAAATCTCCGGGAAAATAATGAAAAATTTTAATAAATATTGACATTCACAATAATATACATTTGAGCCCTCAAAAATGACACCGTATTTATGTATAGGCCTTTCAGTAGAATCTTTCCCTTCGTTTTCAGAAGTGGGAGACACGGATACAGGTGGGAATCACGTGGAGTGGGGGTACCCTGAGAAGGGAAAACTTCTGCTAGAACTATATTATTTACATGTAATTTCCCGAAATGAGTGCCCGAAACTACTAGTATTGACATGGGGAAAATTAGTGTTCGAATCGCGATCGCAAAGCGATTTCTCGCCGTCTGGTGGTGGTTTGTAGAATTACTATCTTGCGGAACCAATCTGAGCCTCTATTTAGTCAATCCTCTTTGGGTTCACTCGACCACGGAATATTTTGTTTTCCACAAATATAGTCAACATGAAGAATTACCAGTGGAATTATCAAAAATTATCAGCTGAATACCGTGTTGATTATATGAAGTAACAGTCGAATAGTGCGATTCTATTGACTGACATTTGGATGAGGAAAATTCCCAATGAAATTGGTACAAAACAACAAAAAAAGTAACTGTCACGTGGCTTCTGCCAAAAAAGGCTACAACCCTGCTTGTTTGGATCTATATGGGAATAATTCAATTCATAGTCCTTGATCGATACATATAATCATAGTATAGTATATTTCGTAACGAGTGCAAACTAGTATATTTCGTAACGAGTGCAAAAAATATTTTTTCACGAGTTACGAATAATATTTTTCATCACAATGTGGCGGAAATTGGACTTTTAGGCACGCGGAGCGTGCCGAAAAGTTCACTTTTCGTCACAGTGTGATGAAAAAGTGTTTTTTGGCGAGTGGGAGGTTTATATCACGAGCCGAAGGCGAGTGATATAATCCCACATGCTAAAAAACATTTTTTTACGAGTTACGAATAATATTTTTCATCACAATGTGGCGGAAATTTCACTTTTCGTCACAGTGTGATGAAAAAGTGTTTTTTGGCGAGTGGGAGGTTTATATCACGAGCCGAAGGCGAGTGATATAATCCCACATGCTAAAAAACATTTTTTTACGAGTTACGAAAAATATTTTTCATCACAATGTGGCGGAAATTGGACTTTTAGGCACGCGGAGCGCGCCGAAAAGTTCACTTTTTGTCACAGCGTGATGAAAAAATACTTATCTTGTTGGACAAAAAGTGCGTGATAAACAGTACGTAATAACCCATTCGCCACAATTTTGAAATTTGAATTTGAAAATAAAAAACAAATAATCATCGTTATGGGATCTATTTTATCGACGGCAGTTTTCTCTAGAAACCTCCGTCGGCTGTGGTTGCTGGTAACTACTTCGTCACTCTCCTTTACCAATAAAATTGTCGGTANTATTTTATCGACGGCAGTTTTCTCTAGAAACCTCCGTCGGCTGTGGTTACTGGTAACTACTTCGTCACTCTCCTTTACCAACAAAATTGTCGGTACAGAAATTCCACAGAGTGATGAACAAAAGAATTAGTATGTGGGATCTTTCGTAGCACGCTATTGAGGGGGCGCCACTGCAGTGCAGAATATAGTGTATCGTTTATATTTCTTTTAAAATTGAATCATAATCACTCGGACCTTATATTTATCATATATTTAATAACAAGGTTTTCTCCCGAATGTTATTTAGAGCCATTGAAGATTTAGTAGTAGTACGCTTCCGTGAAAGAGGGTCTAAGCCCTAGTGAGATTCGGGAGAAGTTTCGGCGAGCCGTTCTGACCAATCAGAGACGGGATTGACCCAAGCCCCGGCCTCGATTGCCATCCATGAAACTGCTCATGTTCATCGGTTTCCACAATTCCCGGCACTTTGATACCCCATCGTGTCGTCTTTTTGGCGGGCATTAATATCCATTTTGGCGATTGAGTGAAACTATTCAGAATTCACTGAATAATTGCGGCGGAAGTTGATCACTGAGCAGGAGACATGGGGGATAAGGATGGTGGTGAGTTTTTTGGAATGATTTTGGAGATTTTGCGGGGGCTTGATGCCAGCAAAAACGTGCTAATTAGGCCTTGGGGGGAGGGGGACTTGGACCATTACCTGTAAACAACGTCACTTTCGCGATTGGAGATAATTTTCATAAGGTATTGATCCATCATTTTTTGGTTTAGAATTAAACCTAATTGCCAGAGGCTTTGATATTAACTGTGGAAGAAACTTAATTAGCGGAGCAATGAGGGAAAACGATTGACGGGTGCATGATATAGGGGAGGGTGAGGTAAAATGAACACTAGACTTTTATAAAATTATTCATAACTCAGAAACAAATTTATCAATTGAGCTCAGTTTAGGCTCGTCACAAAGGGAAATAATTGTTCTTTGTATTGAAAAAAAAATTTTTTAATGGAGAAAGCGGTATAGCAAGATGAAATTGTAAAGAATTTGCTAGCGAAGTCGTTGGGTTTTTATATGCAAATTTTTCGTGCTTTTCATGAAAGATGTTTCATCAAAGGGGGTCTCTTGATATTTTTTCCTATCATTCATTACATTAGCTCAATTAAAGGACGGTTTCGACAAACTTAGTGCTTACCTATATTTTCATTCAATTCATTTGAAGCGGAAACTTTTGATGACGCCGTTGAAGAGCGCGTGATAAACGAAGAGTATAAAATATGGAAGAAAAATACCCCATTCTTGTACGATCTCGTGATGACCCACGCACTGGAGTGGCCATCGCTAACAGCTCAATGGTTGCCCGACGTAACAAGACCCGAGGGCAAAGACTACTCTGTCCACCGTCTGATTCTGGGTACTCACACCTCTGACGAGCAAAATCATCTCCTAATTGCGAGTGTTCAGCTTCCGAATGAGGATGCTCAGTTCGATGCTTCTCATTACGACAATGAGAAAGGAGAGTTTGGAGGTTTTGGATCTGTGAGTGGAAAAATTGAGATTGAGATCAAGATCAATCACGAAGGGGAGGTCAACAGGGCTCGTTACATGCCCCAGAACCCTTGTGTCATTGCTACTAAGACTCCTTCGAGTGATGTCCTTGTTTTCGACTACACGAAACATCCCAGCAAACCTGATCCTAATGGAGAGTGTCATCCTGATCTTAGGTAATTTTTTATTGAACATTAATTGATAAATATCTGAAAAAGGAAGAGGCTGAGGGGAAAATGTCGAAAGAATAACTTTGTGTATACTCGAAACGCTGTCCAGACACAGAAAAAAAATTAATTTGCAGAATCAAGTTACTGATTTCAGAACAAAAATATCTAAAATCGACTTCCTCCAAGTTCAAAGTTCTTATCAACATTTGACTATTGAATTAAGAACCTTTGCGTTTTGAATCTGAGAACATTTGAAATTATTAATATACTTGTGGAATAATTGAATATTAATTCAACATTAATTGGCCTAAGGGGAGACTACTATGAGTTTTAAAATTCGCGGGCTATTGGAGTGAGAAATCTCATGCATTTTTACTATTTTAAGCGTCTATGGGGCAAACGAACAATGAACAATGATTTTTTTTTGACTTATTATTCGTTTTTAGATATATCGTTAGCTGTATAGAAAAGTAACGTAAGTGCCAAAATACGAGAATTCAATAGAAAAAGAGAAACAAATATGGGAACTGGAATTAAAAATTCAAAACTTCTGGTATGAGGACATTTTTTAGCACTTACGTTAGTCTTCTTCTCAGCTAACGATATATGTGGACGTCCGCATGAAAAGGGACCACTTTGTCGATTCTATTTTCCGAGATATTCACGTTTTTCTCTTGCCAACTCCCATTTAAACCCATGTTAAATTATTTTTTCGATCGTCTATAGCGTCGTCACTCTTTACGCTATCAAGTTCATTTTTGGCTCTAAATTTGCAGAATCAGATCAAGATTATCGGCATATACATAACTCCAATAGTGCCAAAGTGGTCCCTTCTCATGCGGACGTCCACATATAATCGATCTACAATATATGAGAAATCTCATTCCAATGCTCGCGGCTTTTAAAACTCATAGTAGTCTCCTCTTAACACAGGAAAAATCATCAATTAAAAACTGAGATGGTCTTGATTTAAGAAAGCAAAAAATCTCAATGTCAGAACCAAGATTTTTCTACAAAATGTCGTCCTTCAATTTGGATGAGTTGATACAAGATGCAAAATTACTGAAAATTAGATGTTTTTTTCTGATTTTTAGGAAACATTTTCTTAAAATAAGTTGATTTTTTTTTGACTGTGGAAACTTTTTTTTGTGTAGTTTCATAGATAGTTTCAGTTGATAGAGAACTAATTTATGGGAACATTTTTAATATATTTTTTTGATTGCCGAAAAATAGATTACGTGGACATCAGAAGGAAGGTTACGGTCTCTCCTGGAACCCCAACTTGAATGGTTATCTCCTGAGTGCATCTGACGATCACACCATTTGCCTCTGGGATATCAACGCAACTCCAAAGGAAAATCGTGTCATTGATGCTAAAACGATCTTTACTGGGCATACTGCTGTCGTTGAGGATGTCGCCTGGCATTTGCTCCACGAGTCACTGTTTGGATCCGTCGCTGATGATCAGAAGCTCATGATATGGGATACTCGGTAAATTAATTAAATCTACGAATCAATTTTTTTCCTGAATTATTCATCATTATTCATAAAATCTGGAGACCTCTTTCGTCGGAAATGATCTAAAAAAATTAATTGCCCTTTTTTCCCATTTCAAATTATTGAAATAATTGAACAATTAACGTATAGAGTCAAAAAGTTCACTCTTTTGTTTTGTAAATATCTCTTGAAACTAGTGGGTCCGGAGGAAAATGTAAATGAACAAGTGGGAAATTGCTCTTGTATTGCATATAGCATAATTATTTTTGATAATAACTTGGCAATATGCTTCCGAGTGGTTATTTTACACGTCATTTCCTTCTATCATGTATAATTCATTGTTTATGTCATTTTGTTAAATAGAATAATGTTTCTTTTCAACTAATTTTGTCAGATTTTCAACTTAATTCAATGTTATCATCCGCATTATTCTTATTATCCCTTTCTTCTATACAACCGATTGTCTTCCTTTTTTGTCATTATGACAGCCGTTATGACAAAAAATATTGTTCGTCAAACGGCTTAAAAAATCTTTTCCAGCTCATATGATTCCAACACTCGTCATCGGCTCGAACTGCAAACTTATATTCGCTAGAAAATTTGTTTTCAGCCTAATGACGAAATATCCTATTTATGGTTCTATCTCTCCCTTCAGGCCTTCGATAAAATGTTAATAGAAAAATTTTATTTACACACTTGATTGAATTTGAAACATCATATTCGAAGAAACCCATCAGAAAACTCACTTTCAGGGAAATTCAAGAATTTATTATCGTAATTTTATAATTCTTATGCCATTGAATTACTAATTTTCCATTCTATATTTCCTCACAATTTGTAAACAAGGTGCTGACGTTACTCTGTATATGACCCCCATATGGCACGTTTGACCCTCATTGTGACCCTTATGCCCCTAAATTTTATAGGAAATCCTGTATAGGATATGCTATAGAGAATCCTATAGGATTTTTTCATACGTGATATGATCAATACTACGAAATTAATTTTTTTTTCTAGAACAGTTCTACAATTTTTCGTATTATTATTTCATTAGATGTAACAATACAAGCAAACCCAGTCACACTGTGGACGCTCACACAGCCGAAGTCAACTGTCTCAGCTTCAACCCCTACTCCGAGTTCATTCTTGCAACTGGAAGTGCAGATAAGACTGTGGCACTCTGGGACTTGAGGAATTTGAAACTGAAACTTCACTCGTTTGAATCGCACAAGGACGAGATTTTCCAGGTTCAGTGGTCACCGCACAATGAGACAATACTCGCCAGCAGTGGCACTGATCGTCGTCTCCACGTCTGGGATCTCAGTAAGATCGGCGAGGAGCAGTCCAGCGAGGATGCTGAAGATGGACCACCGGAACTTTTGGTGAGTGTTTTTTTCTGGATGTTAACTGTAATTGGCGGATATCTTTTGAAGTAAAAGGTTTGGTAGGAAAAAAAGTAGAAAGGTATTTTTTGTAGAATTAATTTTATTTCTGGAAATTGGTTGAAAGTTTTTCGGAAGGTGAAAATTAAGGACGAAAAGTGAAAAGGTGACGACGACGTCATCAACGAATTAAATTCAGTAGCGAAGCGGTAAACCGGATTAGGTCGATTTTGACTATTGGCCAGTTTTTTACGAATATCTCGGAATCTAAAAGAGATAGAAAAATTTTTGTCATGAACTTTTTATAGCCCTTAATTGGTTCTACAAAAAAGGTCATGAGAAAAATTTTGCTATCTCTCTTAGGTTCTGAGATATTCATCAAAAACGGATTAAAAGTCAAAATCGACTTGACCCGGTTTACCGCTTCACTACTGAATTCATTAGAATTTTTTATGGTTCAACAATTGCGTCTTGTCGGAGGCTCCCGCCTTGATTGTAAAATCAGGGAAAAAACCCTGAGTACACTCAGGGCCAAGAGAATTGCCCTGAACCTGAAGTTATTCAGGTTCAATAAATTGATTTTATTCATAATTCATTCAATCGTTTGTTCATCAGTTTCAGGCAAAATTCTAATTTTCTGTTTTCGAATGTTTCTTTACTTGCATATTTATGGCCGTATGTTGGCTGAAATGATTTATTCCAAATTGATTTTACATTTTCCAACAGTTCATTCATGGTGGACACACAGCCAAGATCAGTGACTTCTCATGGAATCCCAACGAGCCATGGGTCATATGCTCAGTCTCTGAAGATAATATAATGCAGGTGTGGCAGATGGCTGAGAATATCTACAACGATGAGGAGCCTGATACACCAGCCAGTGAGCTTGAGGCTGGTGCTTCATAAATTCATTAATATTGACGTTATTATTTCACTTGGGGTTTCAAAAAATTATTGGAGAAAGCGTAATTTAAATTCATGAAGGCGAGGCAAAAGGACATTTTGCCAATGATTATCATTCGATCAATTTAAAATCGCTGCAGTGAATTTAATGTTTGATACATTTTTAAACTTTAGAAGAAGCAGAAAAATAGCAGATGGTTTTTCCGCAAGTATGTGTGTCAAATGCATCCATACGCTGGATAATTTAAGATTAAGCAACTATTTAAGAAAACTCTGGGATTAATTATTGTACTAATTCAAGTGTATGAAAACCCCACAATATTTTACCTGTTTTTCGTTTTCACCTCGTTTTATTTTTCTTCGTTTTGCAGCCGAAACAAATGTAATCCGAGTATTTTTTCTACTTAGTTAATAAGTCTCTCTGTAATAAGATATGTAACTGACGGAATCGGATATTCCAATTACAATAAGGTTCACCTTCCACACATTTCAATATGAAATAAAGAACATGAAGAATTATATTTTTCGGTTGATTCTCATTTAAAGCATTCGTACGAAAGATTTTTGATGCAATGAAGAAACATCAGAAGAGAATTTTATGCCGTTTGAATTAGCTCTATCCTTTCGACGGGCTGCCCAATAGATTTAAATATTTCTAGTTTTCCAACTAAATTGCATGAAAAACATTTGAAAAAATTCATACCTAATTAATATCACTTAAATTACTTTTTACAAAATATTAATATTTTTTTCAGCTACGGCCCGGTTGCACCAAGCCGATGCACGTATGAAATGTACTATTTGTACATTTGATACCAGCTCCTGGTGAAAAAAAAAAACTACCGACGATGTTGCCACTTTTTCGCATGGAATAATATTTTTTCATTTATTAAAAAAAACAATCTGGAGACCATTCAATGCGTGGAACAGATACAAATAAATTTGATTAGCTCCAAAAATAATTTTTAACCGGAGATACTCCCTAATATTGCCTGAATTTTGAATTTCAATGGGAAACATTTTTTTGTTCAGCGATTCGGCGTCATGAATGATGTGAATGTGAATGATTGCAAGGAAGAGGATGGTGAGAATGATTCCTCTCCAGGTCGTACAATTGATGATAAGAATGGAGAGGTTGAGCTCACGATGAAGGAAAATTATGATAAGAATTATCCGATGCTTAATGGTGATGCTCACAGGGCCATGGGATTATTATGAGGCGTTATTGTTATTACGTGAAAACAGCACATCAGCTCTATATCAGTCCTGAATAAGAGTTCCAGTGTGGCAAGGTAGTTCAAATAAAGATATTTCTGTTATTTGATTTTTGCATGATTATTCATGTAAAGCCATGACGTCGTCAGAAAATATGGCATGGTACAACTTCTCTAGACCCGGGTTCGATTCCCGGCTGGGTGAAGCGGAAAAATTTTTTCTCTCTAAATTCTAATTCTCTTAGAATTTTTTTTAAATTTTTTAAAAAATAATTACTACTTGATTACGAAAACTTGATTATAAATATGGAGCGGTTCAATTCTGGATGGTTACACAACTCGACTTTTGATTGAAGGAAATTATGGTGTGATTTTTCCCTCTTCTTATTCTTTGAGGGGATCGACCTGTCCGTTCTCCAATTTTGACAGCGCTTGGTTGCGTTGGCGAGGTTCATCGCCTGATATGTGTCACTCTCTTGCAATGACGAGCGCACTCGCTGGTGTGATGAAATATTTATCATTGATGTTGTCTTTTTGGGTGTCCGTTGGTAAGGTTGAGTTGAATATTTATTGCATATTTCTGTCAATCATGAAATTATTGAGAAAAACTATTTTATTGATTAGACATAATTACCCCCGTTCACATAGAATTAAAACTGGTTAGAGTAAAAAAGATTTTCTTCACAGAAAAATCGACATTTTATTCTGGTACATCACGTGAGTACTCTTTTTCCGTCTAACTAATGCATAAAGACAAAAATATTCAAGGTTTTTTACATTTTTCACATAATTTAAAGTGAGATTGTCGTTCATTCGCCAATCTCAAGGTCCCTTAATCCATTTTTTACATATTTTTTATTTATATTTATTGAATTTATTCAGACATCAATCATATTAGTATTGACAGATTACTAATTTAAGTCAGATAAAAAAAAATAATGACCATTTTGGTTATTAATTCGGTGGCAAAGTGATAAAATGTAGCAAGTGAAATTCTACATTTTTGTCAATTTAGCAAATTCTATCTCAGAAATTAGTGTTTTTTAGATGGAAATGTCAAGAGACATTTCCATTTTTTTTTTGTAATTGATCAACCTTCCGAGAACTGGTTTATGACATTAGGCCCGATAAACCGCGATCGCGGATTTCGGGGCGAACGAAGCGAGATTAGAATCGCGGTTTTCGGGCCCAGTGACTAAAAAATCCCCATCCCACATGTGTGAAGTATATTTTTTTGCATCACGCTGTGACGAAAAGTGAACTTTTCGGCACATTGTGATAAAAAATATTGTTCGTAAGTCGTGAAAAAATGTTTTTTAACTCGTGGGATTATATCACTCGCCTTCGGCTCGTGATATAAACCTTCCACTCGCCAAAAAACACTTTTTTGCACTCGTTACGAAATATACTAGTTCGTAACTCGTGAAAAAATGTTTTTTAACTCGTGGGATTATATCACTCGCCTTCGGCTCGTGATATAAACCTTCCACTCGCCAAAAAACACTTTTTTGCACTCGTTAGGAAATATACTATTCTGTCACTGCTGCTACGTTCAGCCCGTGTCGAAAAGTGCCTTTTCGTTTGCTAGTAAACGAAAAGTCGAAACTTGTAAACGAAAAGACTTTTCGTTTACTAGTAAACGAAAAATGGCACAGTTCGGCACTCGCTGAACGTAACATCACGAACAAAATAGTATATTTCATTACGAGTGCGGAAAAGTGTTTTTTGGCTCGTGGGAGGTTTATAGCACGAGCCTTCGGCCTTCGGCTCGCCAAAAAACACTTTTTTGCACAATGTGTGGAAAAGGGACGTTTTAGGCACGCGAAGCGTGCCTAAAAAGTTACTTTTTCGCACAGCGTGATGAAAAATATAGTTCGGATACACGTGCGACGGGGTGTTTTACCTCGTCGCACTTGTATCGAAATATACTATTTTGTCATTTTCTCCAATAATCACTCATTATTGAGATAATTTTATATTTAACAAAATGCGAGAAATCGACTCGTTGGATTTTCCTACTTCACTGAGGAATTGGTGAATTACAGAGTTGTACTCGTTATTTCGTTGTACATCTCGGTGAGAAAACGTCCGGTGTTAGTGGGTTGGGCCTCTGGACTCTGCAGTGATATCATTTCTTCAGGAATGATGCTAGGAATTCTAAAAAAAGTCTCAAATCAATAGTTCAAATTTTTAATAAGTTGAAGTGCACGAGGTAATTTTGTACTAAAAAAAATAATACTAAAGTCCAAGACATTCGTTAACGAATTTTATTGGAAATTCTATGATTTTTTTCGATCTCTTCTATTCAAAATTGAGTTGAATTCAAGATTCGATTATTTTCTATATCTTTGAAGCCATAACAAATGAGAAAGTTTTGATAAAGGAATTTTTCTGGCTAAAAAAACCCTTACAAAAATTGCATCATCGCCAATAGATTTGAATATATTCATACAAAATAAAATTGGATTGAAACGACGGCTCTCATTTCTGCGATATTAGGTTTCGGTGCCATTACGTATGAAAAAATCTGATACGATAAGTCACTTTCTATACGCTGAGAGGAAAAAATCATGTTCTCAAACAAGTATTGTTTAAACCAGGGAATCGTACGTTAAAAATTGCTAAGCATCTCGTGTCGAACATATCTCGTGATAAAACAATTCGTCTCAAAAATGCATTTAGTTGGTCCAAAAAATCGTTATATTCTGTGCAAGCAAACACGAAACAAATAATAATAATAATAATAACGATGATATGATAGCAATTTTACAAGTTGAACCTATGAATAATATATTTCTTAATTAACTTCACTTTATGCTGTTGTCATTCCGAAAAGGCACCATTTCAAGGGAGTGAATAGCCTCTGGAGTCAAATATTTCGTTCTTGAAAACATGACAATTATTACTAACTGAAACCTCTATTTGTTTAAATGAAACAATTTCTGTCTCGATAATCTTCAAGTTGTGATTTTTTGCATCTGATTTTTTGGGATGAAGATTTTTTCATGTTTTTTAACCCCTCACGTACGGGGCCTTTCTGATACCAAGTCTACCACACGCTCAATACTCTTCGCATCCCACATTTTCTGATGAATGAAAAATTATAAATAAAATATATAATTGAATCTACAGTATTCACCTTCCCAATGGTATTAATCCTATTATCGGCCATAGTTTCGGAAATATTCAATTTTGAAAAGAGCCGTGCGTTTTTGCATGGGTCGGTATGACATACCGAGCCCGTACGTGAGGGGTTGAGTGTGGTGAAGAGAAATTTGATAGTTTTAATCTGGGCTCGGATATTAATGATAATCTGAGAACAAAAATTTCATCAAAAAAATACAAGGAAATTTCAAGAAATCATAACTCCCGCAATTATTAATATTTTCGATTTTTTTTTTTTCAAAATGTTCGTCTAATGCTCAACTTTCCAGGAAAAAATCAGCAAGAAAATCCGCGACATCGAACCTTTTAGGTGTCCGTTTTGACGTGGAACTGCTCATATAAATAATTTGGGTTCGAAATTTTACCGCTGTGGAGCACTCAATAAATCGCCTCTATCACGCGAGACGGCCTGTTGCATGCAAAAAACAATGAAAGAAGGATAAAGAAGAAAATGAAAATGATGAAGAGGAAATTAGTCGCAGATATAAAACAACAGAATACCTTCTGCTATTGTTGTGGCGTTTTATGGTTTCGAGGAGGGCCACAATTGATGGCATGAGTATCGGGCGAAACATCTGGAATATTAAAAGACCTTTTAATATTGAAAAAACGTCCGCAAGTCGAGCAATCAATTTTTTTCTTCATATTTTTTTCATTTTTCAATGTGCTTTTTGTCGTAACAGAGATGCAAGTATAAATATGCACATGTCTGAAACTGAATTGATCTGTCAGGATTCGTTGATTGTTCGATTTTAGATTACAGATAATCTATAAAAATTGACGCACATTTACCGGTGCATTTCGCATTTCGCGCAGATCGATATTGCGGAATAGATCGTGGACCAGCAGCTCCTCGACACTGGGATAATGACCCCCTGGTTGGTTAAATATGAGGTCCATCAGATCACCAACCTGAGGATTCATTTCAATTAATAGATTCAATTATTGAGGTGCATAAAATCTGAAGTGATGCAGTGAAAAACAAGTAAGAAGATATAGTCCCTGCAGAGACGTTTTGTCAACAAGCGATGCAATAAAAAAGTTATTAACAGTTCAATTGTTGAAAGCGATCTTTTTCAGAATCTATCGAAGGTAAGAAAAACAGTTTAAATGAAAAATGTTTCCCCTTGTCAAACTAAACATATTTGCATTTATAGATTCTTTTCGTATCTGAATTATTTTCCGAGACATCCGGATGACAAATTTCACACTGGAATGTATTTAGGGTATATCCTTTTCAAAAGTGTAGTCCACAAGCTTTGTGGACTACACTTTTTTAGATTGAATTAGATTGAATATTACTCTACACCAATCCGGAGTTTAATTTTTTTCATCCGATAGTTTCTGCGCTATTATGATAAGAAGATGAAAAAAACATGTTTTTCATATGCCGTGAAAATTAATGAACTTTGACCAAGTCCTAATTACAAGCCTCGAAGGTTTGCGGACTACACTTTTGAAAAGGATAGTAGTACCTTGCGCGGCCGACCATACCGCGCGTCGTACTACTGACGATTCTTTTCACCCTCAATATTATCGGAAATAATTAGAATAGCAAAACAATGCATAAACGCATTCATGTTCAGTTTGACAAGAGGCATATTTTTCATCCGAACTATTTTTTCCTACTTTGGATAGTTTCCGAGAAACCTCGATTTCGAAAATCGAATTGCTAACAACTTGTTTTTCATCAGTTGTCGGCGAAATGACCTTGAAATTCGGATTCTACGAATCAAAACACATGAAAAAGTATCGAGTGCATGCATAACCCTGAAAATGGTTACTAAATGGTATTGTCCGTTTCAGAAGTAGAAGATCCTGAGGCTAAACACGCATAACATCGGTGAAAAAAATTGTAGAAATTGGAACCAAGTTTTATTAACTTCCCGACCCGAAGGGAGGAAGTTATTGTAATGACCCCGAAAATCGAATGTGGAAATTTAAGCATTTCTCCACGTTTCATGACCTTTGGAACCACTTCTGACCCTTTTCAGGTACCTGTCTGTATGTGTGGATGTGTGTATGTGTGTGCGTACGTCTGTGACAAAAATTTTGTGCCACGATTCCTCCTGAACAAACGATGCGATTTGAATTTTTTTTTTTAATCGCTGTATTTTCATGTGACTTGAACCTGATTAGATTATGGAGACGATCGTCTCAGCGTTTCTCCAGTTTTTTCCAAAAAACATTTGGAAAAAAGTCGAAAATTAGCGTTTTTTTGTAAACGAGACCATTTCTCCGTGCATAACGATGCGATTTCAAGTTTTTTTTGTTAGAAACGATGAATCTTGATATAACGCACAAATCATGGAATACTGGAAGACATTTAATCAGCAGTTCATTAGCTTTTTTTGAAATCGATATACATTCAAGAAACAATTTTACTTTTCTGATAAATTACATCTTTTCTCGATGCGGAATACGGCGATGTGTGTGCATGGGAGTGGGTGTGAGTGCGAGCACGCGCACGGATTTTCTTGTCTTCTATGGGTATTTCCTCGGAGAAATGTGAGAAAAGGATTGAATAAATACATAATAAAAAAGTTAAAAATTAATGAAAGAAAAAACAAATGGTCGGGAAGTCATTGGTGCGACCCGTAATGGGTCACATCCAATTCCACCAACCCCTACCGGTCATACCCTAAAGAGGGAGCGCGCGAAGCGCGCGACCGGGCCGATTTTTTAGGGAATTGATCAGTTATCTCAACCTGTATGGAGCCTCATCTGTTCAAATTCATAAATATTAATTATATTGTAAGGCAAAGGTTAAGAAACGGCCGATTTTAGGGGGAATGGTAAGCTCTGCGATAAGTGTCGATTTAATTGATAAATCAACATCTTTCATTTGTCAATCTGGAGTTTGTATGTGCATACAAAAAAATACTTTTTAAAAGCACAATTTTTTCAGGTATTCGATATTTCTTCAAGTACTGAAGTGAATCCACACAACAGTCAACGGAATGTCGGGAACAAAAATTGAAAAAGGCTTTTTGTCTCCAAATACTCCCCATCCGAGCTACTCTCCGTATATTTCTTTTTAATTCGTTTTGGAATGCTCTGTATATTCCAATAAACTCTTACACCAGTCTCTTCACCTCTTTAGAATTTTCAATCTTTACCTTTGGATATTTTTCAAGATCTGCCATGTGAACTGACGACGGCTTGAAAGCGCATAGCTCGTAACCCGTGCACATCTCAAACAGCATATGACCTAGATATTAAAATATTAATTCAGTATACAAAAGTTCATTTCCCTCAGGAAACCATTTAAATTTTAATCGAGACACTCTACATTTCTTTCTCATATTTATTAATTCAGAAATAAGAATAAGAAGACAACGGATTCAAGGGGAATGCAAAATATCTGCAATGAAGTCGAAAAGTAAGAATTTAAAAAAATAAAGATTCTCGGAATCTTTCCGTCATTTCCAATGCGTATGACAAAATAGTCAGAGAAGTTTTTTCGGTCGAGTGACAGCGCTTCGTATCTCTGCACGGAGAGAAAAATTCAATAAAAATTACCAGAAAAAAACGGACAAATTACGTTTTGAAACGTAAGCCGCGGCTGAAGTAAAATTCAATAAAAAGTGTGAGTCGAAAGTGAAATTGTGTGTCATTGGTTATATTATTTATGAGGACAGTACCGAAGCAAATGCTGTCTACGGCGACACGAGGGGTCGGTCGAGAGGTGACAACTGGATGAATTCGACTGGTAAATCCCAAGAGTGAATTCTCAAGTCCTGCGAGACGTGCGACACCGTTTTGAATAACAACATTGCCAGAGTGCAAGTGCGTCACCGTTGGAAAACCACGGTCCTTTAGGAATATTAAAGCTTCGAGAACTTGTCTTCCCATTTGCAGAATTTGGGGTAATGTGAGACCTTTTCCACGGGACGTGTACTTGTGGCTCCAATCCGCATTCCAGCAGTTTCTCTCGATCTGGAAATTCAATGTTATAATTCAGTAGCGAAGCGGTAAACCGGGTTAAGTCGATTTTGACTTTTGGCTAGTTTTTGACGAATATCTCGGGATCTAAAAGAGATAGAAAGATTTTTGTCATGACCTTTTTTGTAGAGCCAATAGAGCGTTATAAAAAAAGTCATTAGAAAAATTTTGCTATCTCTCTTAGATTCCGAGATATTCAGCAAAAACTGACTAATAGTCAAAATAGACTTAACTCGGTTTACCGCTTCGCTACTGAATTATTCTTAAATAATTCAACTCGCGATGAAAATGTGAGCAAAATCGTTCTTTTTTTTTGTTACATCGAATAAAAATTGTAGTAATTTACGTGTAAGAAAATGCAATTTTTAATCGTCGCTTGTCGATGAAAAAATTATTGTTTTCCATAAACTCATAAAATATATGAAATCGTTTAATTGTAATCTCACAGAGAAAGAAGTATAGAGCAGAATGTCTTGTTGAAAATTTCTTTGACACAACTTCAAGAGCCTCACAATTTCTTTTGTCAGAACAAAAGATCTCAATTTGTCGATAATGATGATTAATTAGTTGTAAAATTTTTACACAACATTTAATTTAAAAATGTATAGACGGCGCAAAATAGGAATAAACCATCATTCATAATTGAATTATTCATTGAAATAATCAATAAAAGAAGATCAATGATTGCATGATTGATTAATGAATTGCGACTCACCCCGTAAATAAGATCCTTCATACTGCCTTGATTTATGGGTTGAACTAGAATCACATAATTCTGTCCCTCGAACTCAATGAACTCTAGGTCAAATACTGGACACACATACGGATGCTGCAGAGCCAGAAATAACTTGTTGAGGACATCTTTAGTGGACGAACAGACGGTGAGTGGACAATTTCGATTCAATGGCACTAGTGTCAATAGCCTGTCGGTCTTCAGAGTTGTGTCACGAACTGCGAACCAATGTTTGTCGACTCGAGAGCCTATAATTACGTAGTGAGGAATAATATTAATTGCATGTCATTTATCGTAGCATGAATTCGTTAGACATTGGAAAATTTATTCATACATTGTTTCACGATAATCTTAAGAAAAAGGGAGCTTACGAAAATTTATCAGAACATCACAGGTTCATCAAACAAAAAAATTTATCATTAGTGTGAAAAAACTTATTGTTTATTGTCCGTTAGACGTGTAGAAGCGTAAAATGATGCAGTAAAAAATGGTTCAGTGTACCCAATTTTTCAGATAAACAACTTCTTTTTCTCCCGAAATGAAAACAATGCCCGAAAGTACAACTACGAATTACTTTTTTTAATATTTCAAGTTGAATTATCAAAGAAATTCAAGTAATTGATATCAAAGGAGAAAATATTCCAAAACGATAATTTTTATAGAAACGAGAATTTTGTGTTATCCCTCAACCCAGGTATAGTCGTCCACACGGGAGAATGGTCCTGGCCTCCCACTATCTTGAATTGAGGTATGACTCATATCCCCCACCACTCAAATCCAAGACCATTCTTTCGTGGGGAGCAGTATAGATTGTTAGTGGGATCTCCTATTGCTCTGGGATTATTATAAATATCTTACCAACGTTGCAGAGCTGTTTAATCAGATTATATCGTAAGCTCCCTTGGATGTAAACTTCGCAGACAGATAGTGCATGGTCCCTCGATTTTTTCTCCATCTCCAGATATTCACCACTTTCCTCGCGGAAGGAGGAACCTTGGTCCAATGACTCGTAATTAGATCTACCATTTCTAATTGCGAGTGAAGACATGAATAAATTAGACGGAATTTATTCAAACAAAATTCTATTTTTGGGATTATTTTCCATTTATTATTAATTTATTCTCAACCATTAAATTCCTCCAAATGCATTTTCAAATTATTTTGTGAACTACGATAGGAAGAGACTTGGAAAAGTTCAATAAAGGACTGTTTTTTGCTGAAAAATTCTGTTCAAAAAAATATTGATGAAATTATTTCTACTGGCAAATAAAAATCTATCGATATTTGTCGATTAAATACTTTTTCACTAAAAGAACGTGCGGAAAACTGCGAGATTTTGATAGAAAAAAGTATTTAAACAAGTCTTGTTTGAGCCAATAAAATGGGAAATTGACAATTACCAGAATAGAACTGGTTTTATTCGAAATAACAAAAGTTGCAAACATGAATAATCGGTTTTCTTTCAACAATGAAATATTTGACTCCAGAAGCGGATAAAAATATCTCTCATAAAGTGAAGATGACCGAGAAATATTTTGTTCCTAAGTTACAGGATTCTGATCATATCATTATATCATTTTTATGCTATTTAAGAATTAATTTCTTATCATTGGATATTGAGAGCTATATACTATTTCGTGACGAGGTTCATAAGCGGTGTTTGACGGCCGCAAAACATCCTCCATGTACTAAAGTTGTTGTAAAAAAATCAAATAACTGGTCAGGCCTGACTGTGCCCGTCCCGCTTGACCCTCTTTCGACTCCTCAAATTAACAATAAATAAACAAAATCAATAGTACCTTGGATCCAGTGGAACTGAGCTATCCTGACTCTCACGTCTAAAACCACAACAAAAGCGGATTACTCTTCCTACAGAAGGATTACCAGTTACTCTACAGTCATTCCTACTCTGCCAAGTTGTTTTACGACTGCGACAAAATAAATGGCTTCATCCAATAATAAGCGAAGAATAACGGAAAAAACAATAATAATAATGGATTCTCATTGAGTGCATTCTCTCCTTCAATTCCTCATTTTCCAATTAATCATGACTCTAATGAGATTATTTCCTTTACCTTCGCACAGGAGGCAGGAGGATTAAATTTCCCTCACGATTTAGAGATTGGAGTTTAATATCTCGATGCGTGTCAAGCGTAAAATTCATCTCGACAATTTTCATTTCGCGCTGCAGGACTTGATATTATTTACGAAACTTCGAGGGTCATAATGAGTCGTATCTCAACTACGCGACAAACTGTGTCATACTAAGAAGTAGGTACGGTTGACTCGAAAGTTTCGCAGTGAACGGGTACTTGAGGGCGGGGAGGGGATTTGGTTGGTAAATAGTCTATTTCTTATTGACATGGGATCCACTTGGGTTTCTACGATATTTTGATGCAGAAAATTATGGCGAATGGCCAGGGACTCATGGAAAAATGGGAATTTCGGGAGGCTTTTGTGAATGCCTTTTCGCGATTTTCTCAAGTTCTTCTCCTTCGAGTGATTTGAAAAAAAAAACATCGTCAAGAGACATTTTTTCGGAGAGAATTTCATGAGACAAAGGTTCTTTCGGGGCTTTCAAATATCACGTCACACGATTATAGGAGAGGGGGCGGAGGATGCTCTGCAGTTTGCGAGATTTTTGGACGAACGGGGGAGGAAGGGGTTGATTAAGTTGTGCGGTCATACCATATTTTTTCCAATTTCCACCCACGAAAAAAATTTAATTTAATATTTTAGCCATTCATAGTGGATAGAATCGGAGAAAATTTTAATGAAAAAAAACAACTTTTGCGACCGCTTCCGTTATCCCTTAGTGTGTGGCCTCCTCTGCGCGATAGGAATGCGCAGTAGGATCACTAGTGATACAGGAGGATTGGAACAGAGAGATTCTCTCTCTCTCTGTTTCTCCTTCTCCTTAGTGAAACCATCGACATATCTAAGTAGGGGCTTCCCGTTCAGTTAAACTCGTGGGGTCCTTACCCCCGACGCTGGAATCTTAGGGAGTACGCTGAGAAAAAAATTTATTCCTTCCAAGAAAATGTTATTGGTGATATCGTTTTCATACTCTTAGTAGAAGAAAATATCTCTTTTGGAACGTATTTCTCCAGGCCAGTCATTTCCAGGTGCTCCGAAATCAGTTCCAAGCGTGAGAATTATGGTGATCTATAAGAATATTCTTCTGCATATGACCTCGAAGAAACTTCAATAATAATTATTAACATTTGGAATTATTCCAATTTTCTTTACCTGAGAAAATCGCCAATTTGTAAAATCCGGAAGATATCGGAGAACATTTTGTCAAGGTCATATGTAGCATAATAATCAGATTGTTCAATATCACTAATTTTTGAGGATAGACTTGGACTCTCTGAAAATGACTGTCCTGGAAAAATTCGTTCTGAAAAAATATTATCTTCTGACGAGAATATCAATCCTTGGCAGGAATAATTTTTCCTCTCAGTGTATGCACTGTATTTCCCTGTCGGAAAATATAAAATCGCCACGCAACACTAATTATTCTAACACGCAGACATCACCCAACAATTATAATAAAACCAAAATAATTTTATCAATTACCTAATTTCGTTGTCCCGATATGCTTTCGCAGCTGATACCCGATTGAAAAGTAGCTTAGCGAGGCTATCAATTTTCATTGTCAATTGAAATCTGTCTTCAATACTACTGCTACTACTTTCACCCCCTTCGATGCTCGCACTCCTATTACGTCGCGCATGATTTGCTTGGGCTGTTAAAATTGCATTTGTATCAAGTTCAATTGCACTTTTCGTGCGTCTATTCGAGGGTCGTCTTTTGCGACGTGATCGAGGTCGTTCCTGGTAGAACCTGTCGTGTCCCGTGACATCGGATTCACGGCGACGAGTGCCGTTCTCCTCGTCTTTTTTATTCAGCGTTGTATATAAATTGAACATTTTTCATTCACTTCAATTTCTCCCTAGGAGGTGTTGATCAACTTTGATTGGTCCCGAGTGAAATGGTCCCTAGAATATTCCATAAAGTAACACCTCGAATTTTAAAGGTTGAATTCTGAGATAAATTTCAAGTGGAAGTTAATATGAATTGAATGTTTCAGGGGAAATTTCTGCTGAATCGACAGGATTGTACACGGAGAAAAATTTTCTAGAAAAATTCTAGTACGAGTACTGTAAAAAATCACAATCCATCGGCTGTGAGAAATTCTAGTGCTGTTAAGGTAAAATTTCTTGGTATTTCTGGTAAAATTTCTGGGGATTTCTGTGAAATTTTCACAGAAATACGGGGAAAAATTCACGTTTTCCCAATAAAATTTCTATTACCAGCACTGGAATTTTTTCCTTGCCGTCACTTTGCGCCTCTTTTCCCGTCCTAGCACTAGAATTTTTCTAAAAAATCTCTCTCCGTGTATTATTGAAACAATGAATTTAGAAGTGGTAAATAATAAAGTCTTATGAAAAAATGAACTTTTAAAATTATAAAATTATAAAATTATTCCCAAATTACCTTCCTCTCAAAATTTTCCAACTCAATTGTCTAATTAAACAGTAATGAAACAATATTTACCTTCGGTTTAGAAAGCATAATAATTCTCTCAATGCGTCCACAATTTCACGTTTCCCCGACACGAAATGGGAGACAAAATTCAGAGATGGATTGGACGGTATTTAAAAATAATTGTAATACTGAAAGTCATTTAAATAATTGTCTTTCCTTCGAGGTGAGCGCGGGAAAGTTGGCGCATCCGTCTGATACTAGGGACGCTTGATCACTGAGAATATGCGACTGCCAACCACCCCACAAACTACTCCCGAATGGTTTCTACCCCAGCATGACACAGATTTTCTCTTCTACGCAAGTGTGTGTACATGTGTCTACAAGTGATGTTTGGTGGCTGCGCGATGACCGGGACGTCGTACTCACGCGTATATCGAGGTCGCACGGGTCTCAGGAATTGAATTATAAATGCATTTAGCAGTTCATTAATGCCAGGGCAATGCAATTAATCTCACGTTGCTTTGATTTTATTGATTGATATTTTCCTTTTTGTTGACTTTTACAGGATGAGGGGTTGAGGAAAAAGTTTTGTTGAAACATTTATTCCGGTTCCATGACTAATCCACACAAAACAAATTCAACATGTAAATTCAGCAAACGATAACTCAACACATAACAAACTCAACAAAATAAAATTCAGGACATTGACACTTCATCAGCATATATTTAAACATCTGTATTTTTAATACTATGAGACAGAAATTTGAAGGTCTTGCCAGAGTAGGGGACGGTGGGGCAAAATGAAACAGCAAGAAAATCTTCTGATCTAAGGGAGATAGGAGGATTTTCATGAAAACCTTTTTTGTAGAGAATTTTACAAGCTACAAAAAAGGTCCTCTTCAAAAATGTCCTATCTCCTTTAGATGACGAGATTTTCCCACGGTTTCATGTTGCCCCATGCTCCCATGCTTGAATTTTTAGAATTTGAATCCTTGAAGGAATTAGAAAATAAACTGCGCAAAATTTTTGATCCATTGTGCACAGTCAATAAATACAAAGTTGAGCGGGACAGTATATTTAGAAATAACGATGAGAATATCATAGATTATATGAATCGCTTGCAAAATATTTTTAACGAAATAAGACGCCTAGATAATAATGATACAATTACATTGCATTCCTCAGAGGAAGAGAAACTTGAAAGGGAAGCGATCCAAACATTTGTTAATAAATGATATCATCATGTGAAAATATCGAGCAATCATCATCAAAATACATAAATAAGAAAAGAGGCACGAACATGGAGAAAATTGAATATGAGGATAAATTGTTGACAAAAGGGCGGGAGATATCGAAGAAGATAGCGTTAAGGTGAACGTGTAGTGAGTGAGCATTGGGTTGACTTTATTTTTGCGGGAGTACATGTGGTGAAATCCCTGGATGTTGAGTTCCCGATCTGTTGAATTGTCTATGTGTTGAAATTATGTGTTTTGTTGAATTGACTATGTGGTAATTAGTCATGACACTATGCATTCCTACTCACGAACGTATTTCTACATGGAAGCATTTTTTTGGTCTTCAAACGCAATACTTTTTTTTAAATGCAGTTATAAAACTGAAAAATCAATTATTTGAAATAATAATAATTCTTTTCAGTAAAATATAATGATAGTTATATGCAGTTTTAAATGCATTCATCCATTTAGAAATGAATTTCAAGATGAAAATCATTTTTTTTTAATTTTGAAATCCAATTTTTGAATGATTATCTATGTTTTGTAGAATGTTCATCACTAGGTTTAATTATTGAACTTTAGTACCTGATAAACGGAAACGTTTTTAAAAAATGCGGAGAAATGCAATTTTTTCACATACTTATTTTAGATAATTGAGTATCAATGACCCTATATCATATTTTTTTAAAATTTTCAATGATACAGGTAGATATTTTCCTAAAAATTCAACCAACTTAAAGTATTGCAGCACAATCTGTCCTTATAACTGACCTAAGCCCTGGGGTCTTCTATAAATGGAAAACGGGTAACAAACAAAACTTAATAAAAAAAATTGCGAACAGCAAACTTTTTTCAAAATCACTTATACTTTATTGGCGAGCATCAATAATAAACATTGACAGACTTAGAAATAGTTTGAATAAAGATAAGAATAGATTTCAACAATTTGTTCTAATTTTCCAGTAGTAATACCACTAGTGCTTCAAAATTATCGGATATTTTCCAATAGCTTCGTTGCCTAGAAACGATTGTGTCGAATTTTGCAGGGTTAAAATCCCAAGTGCGAAGCACGAGGGATTTTTTCGCGAAATTTCCAAAAAATTGGGTGTAACAAAAATTTAAAAAAAAACATGAAAAGCTTGAATGATAAATAAGATGAAGGAAGGATATTCTATACAGTGGTTTTGTATGCACTTGACAATTATTAAAATGATTAACAGAACGAATGAATAATATTTTCAATTGAATTTCCTATCCTCTTACTCTCAAGATTTAAGAATAAATTTTATGCTGCGAGATGTTTTTTTTTCTTCTATGGTTGAAAAATTATACAATCATATCGTTTATCAACAAGTTTGACAATTATTAATTCTTTATTCTTTCAATTTTTCAGAAATCCTTGGAGGAATTCTCATGTTTTTCAATTTAATTTTTCCGTAATATAATGTTCAGAAAATTAAATAACGGAAAATTTAATTCGAAAACATGAGAATTATTTCGTTTATAATTCCTAGAAATAGGTATCTTTTTCAATTGGATTACAGAAAGTTGCACGTGATGCTTGGGCATTTCAATTAGTTTCTTGTCTGTTTAAGGTAGAATGCGATAAGAGAATTAAAAAGAAAAATAAATAAATATTCCTGTCGCCGCATGTCACGCGTAGGGAGTGACAGCAGTCATCAATAACCACACGTTTTGAACACTGTAATCTCGGTCATAGCTGTTCTACGGCTTCGTTTACTGAAGAATTAGAGTGAGGCCTTCAGACTTTGGATTAGACGTTTTTATCCAGTTTAGTGGAATTTATGCCGCTGGAGTGTCCAGACTGAAGGCTTTTTGGCATTGCGGAGTCCAGTTGGTGGCTGGAAGATTGCTGATCACCTATTGAATAATTGTAATGAATTCATGAGAGAAGATAAATAAGTATTGAAGTAGAAGTGTCCGCCTAGAAAGCCAGAGGTCCTGGGTTCGAAAGTCGGCACCGGCGAATTATTTATGGATTATTTGATTTAGTCAAGTAATATAAGGACACCATCAAATATACGTTGTAACAATGAGAGAAACCCAATGTGTTAAGCATGTCGAATCATGTAAAAATACAGGACCCACAGTTTCACGTGTTTCGAGAACCTGACTACAGTTGATTCTCACCTTCGAAATACTGTCGATACCATCGTAACCTATATAGGCTACAGAGGAAATAGTCGTGAGTTCGAACGATAATAAAAGAGTCGCGAAGAAATTATTTGAAAAATTCATACCAGTCAAACCGTTCATTCTCCACGAATATTCAATTCAAAGTTGAATTGAATTATGCACATTCGAATCACAACGAATTATTCATAAAAATGAATATTCGCAAACACCGCTAATACAATTATTTCAAAGGCCAGTGATTCTAGGAGAAAATAGCAAGAGACCCCCTATTACAGCTGAATGAATTTTCAAAAATAAGTGTAAATAAACAATCAGAATTAAAAGTAGGTACTTTTGAGACAACTAGACTTGATAGATTGGAATTCTTTTAAATCAATCTTACCTCTTTAACAAATTCCACTAGAGTTTTAGGATCAAACTCCGCCTTTGCTCGTGGGCCCCACGTGTACTCATAAGTTTCTTTGTCGATTTCTGCTGCTTTACATCGTACCAAATAAACTTGCTGAACAAACGTCTATAAATAGAGAAGAATAGGGATCATTATCCAATAATTTTACAAATATCTTGGAATAGATCCGCAAATCACTTGGATTTTTTGTTTTACCTTTCGTACCAACTCCTCAACATTTCCAAAGTAAGGGTGAAGAATGCCATGGTCTCGCCAAATATTAAATTTTGCCAGAAAGTTGATCAAACTTACTGAAATCAAGCAAGAATAATTTCAATTTTGCGCGAAATAGTGGAAGGTACTTGCTAAATATCAACCGAAATCTTAATGCTTGAACGATTCCGGCAACAAAGGGTTTTAAACATAAATGCTAACAGATATCTTTTGTAACCAACTAAATGATCTACATAAAATGTTACTTGACATCTCTCCCCTAAGCTCCCCATCATCGACACAAAGAAAAAAGTTCCCAGTCAAAATCTCTTACAAACTCATGTTGAAATCTAGCGTGCAAAAAATCCTGGAAACAAGGGAAATTTTTACATATGTTGAGAAAACTTTCAGTTATAATACCAGAAGATCATAAAAATTATTGGGTATTTTTCATTGAGACAAATAAATTTTTGATACTAAATTATAGGGATTGTTTTTCTGAAATTAAGTAACCAGTTTCTTATTCTCAGTAGAGTGCCTTCTAGAATCATGAGCTTCTTGAAATCAATAATGTAGTTTTGAAAATTAGAATTTTGGTCTCTGGAGATATAATTCTAATTGACAACTTGTTTCTTCTTTTATATCGAATTATCTCAGAAACGAATAAATTAAGGAAAAATGAGTAAAATGAAACGAATGAGAATAAAAACAGAAAAAATGTAAATTCCAAGCCGATCGCCTCTAAAAATAAATGCAAATTAGCATCGAACCTTCTCTACAGGGTTCTCCAGACGTGAAGATATGTGAAAGCACGAGGAGTAGCAGAGTTTGTGCAGGAATATCCTCACCCTCGAGAGTAATTTCTTCACGACGAAGTATATTAACAATTACCCACTTCTGTCCACCCACCCCTATCAGCTTGTACCCAAAGACCTGATGAAGAACAGCTTTGGTTTTTGCCATCAGATTCGTATAATACTTGTTGTGGTCTGGGATCACGTAGCACTTGATATCTGTGTGCTTAATGGTTCTTTTGTTCTTAGCTGCTTCCAGCAAATAGTCCAATAACGTCCCTACAACTTCACTCTCCTCGCTCTCAGGTAAATCCCGTCCTCGGCGTCGTGATTCATACTTTAGTATCTTTTCAATGTCTTTTTCAATGTTTTTCTTATATCTTTGTGACGAATTCATTCTGCGAATTAATCAATTGACGTCTGATCATTTCAAAGATTGATTAAATTACGAAAATTTTCCCTTACCTATTAGTGTTCATAGTACAATCATTGAGGTTAGATAGAGATTTTTCAGGTTTTCAAGTGCAGGAGATTAAATTACACAAATTTTTTAAGTTTCTGACGACCTTCAATTACTTTGTGATGTTGTTCTTTGTCTAGTACGATTTTTACAATTTTTGATGGATAATTATTCACTAAGGAGTACTAAGGACAATTTCGATATTCTTCTTCTTCTTCTTCGATTTTTATAGCTCTGACATTTTAGTGTCTTGCGGCCGTTATCCCTCTACAGGGACGTTTCAGCAATTTCGATATTCGTTTGTTGTCAAATTCGTTTCCAAATAAGCGAAATACGCGATAGCGTATCAGTTATTATAGGGAGTTTTTCGGCCAATTCACGAACTAATGGCCGTCCACTTTGGATCAGACAAGGATAGGATGCGTCTGACCATCTTTGTTCAATATCTTTGGCAAATTGGAGGGGGTGTGGCGACTCCGTCCGCCGCAGTTCCCACTTCGTCCACGGCGCAGCGCGCCGATCACCCTCAAGGCGCAACCCGTCGCCCGCGGAAGCAAGCCTTGATACCAAAATTATTCTATGCCTAACGCTCACACCACACGTGAAGCATACGATATCATTCATTCCAAAGTTTAATTTGTATTGACTATTTCTACTACTGATAATAATAAATATTAGTGTTGTTACATACTGCGGAGATTACTCTATCTTGGGGAACCCTCATAATAAGCTAAAGGGGTGACTTTCCACTGCCATCTGTTTCCGTTTTGCAAAAACTCTCCAATTGTCGGTAATCGGTAATTTACCTTACCTTCATTGCCTGTGTGCTAATACTACTGCTTTTCCATGCTATTTCTGTGCTTTTATCTCAATGTACCCTCTCATATTTATAATCTCTCATCTGTACAATTTGTTTAAATTTCTAAACAATAAACTCCTTATCTTATCCTTATTCTTATCCTTCTTATCTTTACACTCCTTTCAATAGAAATATTGGACTAATGATGTGCTCACCTTATCTACACGAGCGTAGGATCATTTACCTTTAATTAGAGAAAAAAAAATGAAAAATGCTGAAGATTTATTGAAAAATTATCAAATCATCTTTTATTTAAGAACATTAGTTATAAACTTGAACGCATTTAGAAGTGATTTAAATAATGGTGAAATGGTTTTCAAAAATAGAAAAGCTCTTAACATTAAAACTGTTTATAAAAAAATTATTAATATTAGCTTTGGAATAATGTTGAGTTTAACTCACTTAGGAATGAATTTGTTCGATGAGTAAGAAAAAAAAATCATGAGAAATGTTTTCAGTTGAATATCGTGTCCGTCTTGGGATGATATTCCTCATTCCTTACTCAGGGAAGTTTATGCCGCTGGAGTTTCAAGTCTGTGGGCCTTTCGGTACTGATGATTCCAACTCTGAGCGGGACGATTGAACACCTATTGAATATTAGAATGAATCAATGAAAGAAGATGATCGCCGACGCAATATATTCTTGAGGAAATGACCTGTTGCGCACAATCGAGTCCTTTCTTTTTTCTTCCGAATGGAAGTCTTGTGATCGGTCATTTTTACGATCTTCTAATTTTGCTTGGAGGTGACGTAGAATGTCATGAAACGTGACGACATGTTTTTAGAAAATGTGTGTATGTCCATTATGTGATAGGTCATTTTGCCGAGAAAATGGGGCGTCGATGGTGAAGTATGCCCTCGTCAAATACGAAATAATCTTTATGGGAGATTCTTAATTAAAGTAATGGCAAGAGTCTTTTTCGGTGAAAATTACTGCAATTTGCAAAAAGTGTTTTGAGTTTTTTTACTTCTGAAAAGTTATTCATTACTAAAGTAATTTGAACAATATTAAACCATGATACGAATCTGACATTGTTAATCAATTGATTATTTGAGAATGAGTGGTTTTACAATAAAATTTCAAGAGCTTTTTCCATCTATTTAACTTCAATGATGAAAAAGATCTCTCAAGTTTTCCTCAACACGAATGTCAAATCTGACGTATTACGTTTTATTAATAATTATAATAATTTTTTTAATTTTACCTTGCCAAGGAACTCTATTATATTTCGAGGATCACATTCCTCTTTTGCTCTCTGACCCCAAGTGTAATCGTACATTTCATTATCAGCTTCTGATACTTTAGATCGTATCAAGTAGACTTGCTGAACGAATCTCTGAACACAAAAAGAAATTGAATTATCATCAATTTGATGGAATTTTGTTTGTTGTTACCTTTTGCAGCACCTCCTGGACATTTCCAAAGTAAGGATGGACAGCCCCATCTCTCCAAATGCCCAAGCATTTCAGAAAATGAATCAAATTGTCTGGAAATGACGAAGAAAATTATGGCAATTTTGTGACTGAAGTATATAAATTAAAAAATACTATATATAGACTATTTTACAAATATTTCGAGAACGAGTGATTTTACAAAGTGATACATGATAAATTCATGTAATTTTTTTTCTTGAAGCAGAGGACAGACAGGGTAAGCACTGCAAATCGATTTGCACACTGAGAAAAAAAACTATTTTTGCCAAATATCCATTTACTTCAGAGAAGTATTCATTTTTTCAATATCGTATTTCTTCGAGTCATTCTCTGGCAATCCTCATTAGTTTTCAATTATGTCAATTATATTGCTCTAAAAAATGATCATGTTAGTTATGATCTTGAGTAAACTCCTTCAATAATTATCAACATTAAAAAAATTGATCGAAATTCTTCCCTGTGGAAAATAACAAATTTAGGAAAAATGAAGAATCATTAGAGGAGTTCATCCAACGTCATGTGGAACATAGTCCTCCTCTAGACTCTAGAGTCTAGAGCACCAGGATTGTTACAATTGAAACCTAATCAGCCTTCTCTGGGAATGACTCGATTGGAGAAATGTGACTTTGAATAAATGAATACTTCTCTGAAATACATGAATATTTGGCAAAAATAATTTTTGTTCTCAGAGCATTTGGATTAAAATGAATGAGAAAATTCAATCCACATGTTTATGAAACTGGTTAAAATTATTCGTAGCACATTCATATCACGTATTTCCTTGAGGAATAAAGAAAAACGAACGTTCATGTGAACACTTTGTGCTCTGCAAATTTATTTGCCATTAATTTAAGGCCCAGGTGGATCATCTTCCGAGCGTTATTCTCGATTATTGTTCCATCTTCACAATGTAAAATATATCACAATTTTCGTTGGATTTTACAATTGCATATCCACTCCAAACTCATCTCATCTAAAAATGAATACAGATTAAGATCGAACCTTCTCTGCAGGGCTCTCCAGACATGAAGATATGAGACAGCACAAGGTAGAGTAGAGTCTGTGCAGGAACATCATCGACCTCCAAACGAATCAGATCGTGAGAGAGTGCATTGACGATGATCCACTTCCCTCCACCAATGCTGATCAATTTGTACCCGAAGATCTCATGTAAAATTACTTTAGCTTTTGCCATGAGATTCTGGTAATGCTTCACGTGGGATGGGATCCCATAGGTCTTGATGTCTGCCTGCTTGATGGCATTCTTGTTGGAGGCTGCAGACAGAAGGAATTTTAACAATGTCCCTAGAACGTGATTCTCTTCGTCGTCAGGTAGATCAGCTCCTCGACGACGTGATTGTGTCGGTGATATCTCATCAATGTCGTCATAATCGTTTCTCTGGGACCTTTGGCTTTGAGTTTGTCTCTGATTTGCTTTTCGACCTCTCGGAGGTGCATTTGATGGTCCAGCTACCTCGTCAGGGTCTAATTCCATGCGAGAACTGTGGCCTGAACGTTGGGATTTTCGTGACATGTTTTTACTCTGAAAATGAATTAATTGAGGGTTTTTCGTTGGCTGCAGACAACAGTTCTTCATAAAAACGAAAAAAAACTCATTCGAGTTCCTTGGATTAGGGGAAAGTATTGTAAAATGAACCGTTTTAAATCATCAATAACTATAGATCGGCAAAGTGATCCAATAATTTTTTTCTTGATTTTAAACGTTTTTTGTTCAATTTTTTCAGGCTTTAAAATGGGACGTCATTTATTCAAATCATATCATGCAGTCAGGAAACAGTTATGATTCAAGAATGTCAATCCTACCTTATCTTCTCCTATGTCTTGCACTTCATCGTCAAATTAGTCGTAAAGAACCATGAAAATAACGAAATTATAATTTTTTGAAAAACGCTCCTCTATTTCTCAGTCGCCTGCAGTTGCGGATATCGTGATGTGATATTTGAGGTTCGAAGGCGATATTTGATATTTTGAAACGGAAAATTAATTTGTAAGTCTCTAGAGTGCCCTAGAGCTGCGAATGACTACGACTGCATTTATAAAATTTTTGATCCTCCAGTTAGGATTCTGTGGATGAGTAATTACTCTCTACAGAAGAATAATAGTATATTTCGTT